CTTCCGACTTTGGCCCCCACACTCAGCACAGGACTGATCTGGAAGGTCAGGGGGGAGAAGAGGGCCCAAACCTGAACCGCGGCTTGTTGCCGCTGCAAATGCTGCTGTGACATAACCAGGAGCAGCTGCCCGTCACTAGCCCGGAGCCGCGGCCCGGCCCCGCTCCTCCCCCGCTCCCCTCTGCCCGGGGGCGAAGCAGCGCAAGGCGGCGCCCCCTCAGACGCTTGGCCAGGGTCCCCCGAGCAGACGCGGCCGGCGCAGCTGAGCCGGGGGCGGGTCAGCCTCGGGAGACCCCCGGCCGAATAGGCGCCCCCCCTCCCGAACGGAGGCTGCTCGGACGAGGCTCCCGGCCGGCTGGGAGGCAGGCCCGCGCGGCAGACGAGCCAGGCCCGCTTCGGAGCGCCTCCTCGGCGGAGAAGCTCCGGGGGGGGGGCGAGGCGCTGCCGCTGGGCGAAGCGACTCCTTCTCCGGCGCGCTTATCGGGGCCGCCCAGCAGGCGCCCCGCCCGTATCAGCCGCCGGCAGCAGCCCCTCCGGTCCGACCCGCATGGGGCGCGCAAATAAGGGACCCCCGCTGCCTTCAGGGGCCGCGCTCCTCCGCCTGCCTCGCCTCCCACGAGCCCGGCGGGACTGAGGGAGGAAACCGGCGGCGGCTCCCGCGGGAAGCGGACTTGGCGGGGCCACCGGGACCCCGGCGGTAGAGTTGCGCAGCTCTGGAGCCCGCCCGCCCGGCCGGCGCGGAAGAAGCGGGGCCACCTCCGGCGAGCCGCCAGGCGAAGCTGCCTGTAGCGGGAAGTGGCAGTTCGTGCGTCGGCCGAATGCCTCCCCCTGCCCAGACAGGAGCGCCTTGGGGGGCGGGGGGAACGAAGCCGGCAGAAGAGCAAGGGCGTTGGGCAGCGGGCCAAATGCAGCTGGGCCTGCGGAGGCTCATTCCCTTCCCGGGCCCCCTCCCTCCCTTCCTGCCCCTCAGCGTTCCCACGTTATCTTTAAACCATGCTGAGCAGCTGTCCTGCCCCCATTTTTATTCTAAGCAAAATGGTTTTTCTGTGCCAGGATGGTGATTACACAGCCTGCCTGCCCCACGGCTTTCCAAGAGAACCCCAAGTGTAGCGGCTAACATCCCAACATCCCAAAGCTGCGTGGCAAAGTCAGAGTAGGCTTCTGTCCATTAGCCAAGCTCCCCCCCCCTTCTCCTTCCCTTCTCTTCCTCCTCTTTTGCCCCAGTGGAAGCATCCTCCCTTCCCAGCCCAGCAGTTTCTACCCCCCCCTTCACGAGAACGTTCACAAGGGATAGCACAAAGAAACAAGGAATTCTAACAACCATCAACCAACTGTAAAAGATTGTCTTGGGCTGCACTGCAAACCACAGCTGCTTCCTCCAGTCTTTATGCGCCTTCCTGTGAGGAGATTGTCCACCAGTCCATCTGGGATGACCAAAGACTTGAAACAGCTTAAATGTCCATCACCATTTCCTTATTAAAGATTTATACCATCCTCTATACTGGACTTGTCCAGCTATTGTTGTGACAAAACAACTACGATACGGACAGCCTTTTTTCACTTCACTTATAAATACAGAAATAATCTATGTATAAACAAGGGGAGCATGAATTTCTGATTGCATCAAAGAAAGGAGGTTCTGGAGCACCTGCCTCACCATCCAGGAGGCGGAGGAGGGGGGGGAGGGGAGACTTCTCTTCCCAGAGAGGGGATCCAGCCGGCCAGCCACCTTGCCGCCAGCAGTGGGCCAAGTCCTAACCAGAGAGCGCTTCCAAAGGCAGCTTTAAAACTGAGGGCTTCCAGGCAGGAAAAGACTCAAGCCAAAAGGATGTTGTTCTTCTCAGTGTGTAGTATGAATACAAGAATGAATTTGCTTAATCAATGTAAACAATTCAGAACAATCATCTTTGTTAAAAGATTGTAGCTTAAATACATTCAAAAGGTTGTATTTGTGCATTGATTTCAGTTAAGTCCACAACATGGATTTCTTAATGGCCGAGCACCGCTGTCTCCTCTCCTCTCCCTTCAGTCAAGTCCACTCAGTCCATGAGAGCCTCCAGTTCTACCCTGGAAGCTGCTGTGCAGGCAGACAAGGAAGAGCAGCCGCCGGTGGGAAGGAGGGCATCGCCTGCCCTATCGTCTTCTCAAGGCAGAGGGCAAGTGAGGCCTACTAAACATTCCACGAATGACACGAATGAGACGGCACAGTCTGGTCAGCCGTCCCCTCACTCTGCTGTAGACATTTTCACCCCAGATGGTTCATCCTAGTTGAGAAGACAATCGTGAAGCCCAAACCCAAGAAGAAATTCATTGACCAGGCCTGGACTTCATTTTGATTCCACACTGGTTACTAGGATGCTCTCTCCAGCCTCTTCTCGCTTGTTGTACCTCAAGGATTTGAGCTGCATTTCTTGGATCAGCATTAATTTGCACAATTTTAAACCTAGGGATATTGTCCAGAAGAGGCCATTCCAGGCCTCAGAGTAGAAACCAGAAAGCTATTTCCAGTGATCTAAGTTTTAGTGATGCACTAAATCTGCAGATAATACAACTGCACATAGTCCTGGAATGCCGCTCCCCAAGTGTTACGTAGATTTAATTGGCCACGGACAACTTTTGGTTGTCCGTGTCTTATTTGCTGGCTCTCCTGTCCTCAGTGAAGGATTCACTTTCTGTTGCTGAATCTCCTTGGTCTGGGAGAGCCTTGGGCTCAATGACTGCAGGGAGCTGTTGCTGCTGGGCTGCTGTGCAACTGCCAAAGGGGAAGAAAGGTAGAGGTGTGAGTGGCCCACGTTAAGCCCTCTGAGCATCAGGATTAGAAGGCGGAGAAATGGAGCAGACAAGGCTTTATGGGGCACCTGCATCCCTGAAACAACGGGAGTCTTTCTTTTCTTCGGTGGTATTCTGTAAACAAGTCCCCATTGGATTGAGCCTGGGTGTAATCTGAAGAGGGTTGATGACCGTGGTAGGAAAAAGATCTTTTTGCAGAAGAAAGAGGCCCCAGAAGCACGTGGGGGCTTTGAGGCGGCCCCACATCCTGCAATTCATGTGAATCCTCTCTTTACTTGATCCCCAAGTGATCTTTGTGGGTCTTGGAGCTTCCATGTCTCCTTGAGTTGTCTGAAGCTATCCAGACAAGTGAAAACTCCAAGCTCTTGACCTGTGGTAGACATTTTCTCTACTAGAGTATAAACACATTTTCTCTGGGTAAGCATGTATCTAATAATTTATTACTAGTAATTCTAAACTATTTTAGAATTTAGATGCTAAATATGAAATAAAGCATAAAAATAAAATGCATTACAAAAAGTATAGTATTTCTGTCTGGCAACCTTGAGAGCTTCCTCAGTTGGGTATATGGAAACATGGCATAAGTCTTACAATACAAGAGTTCAAACATTAGAAGACCACTGGCAGGCCTTACTTGGAATACCTGTCCAAATCAGAAGATTCTGTCTGGCTCCAAGAAAATACTGCATTCACAACAGTGATGTCTCTGTGCCAAAAGAACCATCCTTGCAGAATGTCCCAGGTTGGGTCCTTCTTAGTTTAGGTTTATTTTTGCTAAATCATCTAGTCTGGTGTGGCAGTTACTTGCTCAGGGAGTGTGCAAAACCTCCCCCCAATTGGGGTTTGGGAGGAGAGACTTTGCCCCTCCCTACCTAAAGGACTTTTTAATGGCAGCAATTCCATCCTGACTACTATGAGAATTGGAAGGGTTTTGCTTGGGCCCAAGAGGAGATAGGGAGAGGTGGATGTCTGCTCCAGCTTCTTGCAAACAAGAACATCAGCTATTATTTCTTTGGGCCTGCAATCCTGGCTCCTTTATTGTATAGTTACCCAGAATCAGAAGTATGTTGGCCAGCTCCCAAGCGTAGCTACTCTAATCATTTAGCATTGATCAATGACGACAGATTCTTTTCTTCTGTTGTCTCCCAAATCTTCCCTCCTCCTCCTCCTCCTCCTCCTCCTCCTCCTCCTCCTCCTCCTCCTCCTCCTCCTCAGTGAAACAATTCCCCATGAACCTCCAGAGCTGATAAATGGCAAAGGTCATACGAACCATCCTCCTTCAGCAAGAATCTTTCTTTCTTGATCCAGCCAAGAGGCTGTAGGGAAGGGCGGCCATTTTGGGGGTTCTGCGCTTGACTCCACGGCTCAGCACAACCTTACCTGTTTCCAGATAAGCTGCTAAGAGTGCAGTGGCAATAAATCATTTTGGTAGAAACATCACTACAGAAATCCCAATTTCCAAAGGTTCTGTAGCACTTTAGTCTTGTAGATTTGCTGAAAAGTGGCTTTTCTTTTTCTTGGATGCATCTTTTTCTCTGACATTCCATTGCAGCCTATCATTCTGTAACATAAATCTACTATTCTGTGTCTTTCACTTTAGGACAAGAGAAAGGAGGTTTGATATTTCTTTAAGAGTTTGAAGAGAGCTACGTCAGTGTCAATCCACTGCTTAAGGAGCTGTTACCAAGCCAGGTACCCTTCATCCCGTATTGGATTTTCATTTAACTGAAGACAATTTCATTACTTCCCTTCTATCAAGATGGTTTTCAGTTTATTTCTGACTAGCTGTCTTCAAATTATCTGAATTTGTTTCCTCTCAAAATCTAATATGCATCCCTTCCCCCTCTCCATCAATCATTAATATAAATGTAGAGGTGCCAGGGCTGAAGTACTCCACTTGACACCCCAGTCCAGTTTGTGGAGGACCCACTGACCAGCATTTTGCTGGACATCTTCATGTCCAGCAGCTCACAATTCATTTGGTGAGCCCATGTGGTGCCGTATTTTGTTAAATGCTTTGCTTGAAATGTCTACAACCACAATCCACAATCTGTTTCCAGTTTCAGGCTATACTTTGGTTAACCTATTATGGATTTATTTTTCTGGTTACAGATTTTCAGTAAAGCTCCTTGGGCTTCCCTTGCGACCAATCAAACAGAAAAGGACAATTGCAACAGTCAAAATGTTGGACTCAGCCCCAGGAGTTGATTGGGTGCCAGCCCCGCATCCTCCCTTACTGGCACAACCAGAGAGTCGCCAGGGGAGGCCTTTCAAGTGCAGGGAGCCAGCCCTGCTGCAGCGCCAACGGGGCCCTGGCCAGCCGCCCAAAGCCAAGCGGGCGGGGACAGGTCCGGCTTGCCCTCCTCGGCAACGACCCAGCACCAGCGGCCTTGGGGCAGCCCGGCAACGTGCCCCCCCAGAGGCCGCCTTTCCTCCGACCCTCTGCGCGTGCGTGCGTGTATGGGGGGGTTAAGGGGCGGCCGAGCCAAAGCATCGCCGCGCTCCTGTGCGGTTGTCCTCGCTGAGAGCCCTCGTAGCGCTCACCGCGGAAGGGGCCGGCGCGCCCTGCCTCCCGACCCGGTGACGAGCAGTCGGTGCCCGGCAGTGACAGAGCAGCGGGGACAACGGAGAGGGTGGCCGGAGCAGAGCGGGGAACCGGATCGACGCAGCCGACCGGGCGGCTACCCGCGGCCACAAAGGCAGGCGCATGCGCGCTTCGCCCACCACCTTACCCTCGGCGTTAAGCGCGCCGAAGCGCCGGGCAGGCGCGGCCGGGCTGGGCCCGCTGCTACTTGGCGGCAGTCGGTGGCTGCTCAGCCGAGGGCATTTCGCCCGAATGAGGGCGGGGCTGCCCACGGGAGTCTCCCAGCTCGGCCAGAGCAGCCCCTGAATATCGAGCCCTCTCGGCCTGCGGGACCGCCTGTCCGGCACCCAGCCCTCGCCCGGCTGGGAAAGGCCGAAGAGCGCAGCGCAAACGCGGAGAAAGGTCGCGCGAAGTCTCCGGCCAGCGCCGTCATGCCGGCCCGAGCAACGGAGAGCAGCGCCCGACCGGCTCGGACCCTCCTCCGCCGAGGCCGCCGCAGGGACCCCGTCGGGGAAGGCGCCCCGCCGACGCCCATCGAGCGCGGCTTCCCGGACTCGGCCGTCGGTTGTCCCGCGGGAGGCCTGGCCGTGAGAAGCGAGGCGAGGCTCTCCGGTCTCGAGCCGAGCGAGGCCGGCAGGTGTAGCGGCCCTTCTCCCGCCCCTTCGCAACCCCAGCAGGGCCCGACTTACCGGCGGCGCTGGAGTCGGTGGCGGCCGAGCGCGACAGGACCAGGCGGGAACGGGGCGCGCCGATCAGCGGCCAAAACGCGCGCCCGGCCGAGCCGCTCCCTCTGCCCGCCCCCTGCGGCTCCGCGGCTGGGCGGGCGGACCGAGGGGCGACGAGCCGCGCGGTGACGAAGCTGCTCTGGGCGCGCCGGGGGAGGGGAGGGCCGGGAAGCGGGCTCGCCCGGCGATTCTGCGTCCCCTTTTCGCCTTTCCGCCAGCACCGAGCCCGGCTTCCGCCGCCGCCGCCCCCCCCGCGAAGGGCGGCTCCGAGGCCCGTTTCCTCCCGCGGAAGGCCGACGGCTTTCCCGAGCGCCTCCCTCGCGGGGCCCGTTTGCTCCGCACCCGGGACCTCTCGGGAAGCGGCCCTGGGCGAGCGCCGGAACACCGCCGTCCGCCCAGAGGAGATCTACCCCTCGCTCCAAGTGGGGATCTACCCCTCGCCTCCGGGCCCTACCTTCACAGGAGCCGCGGGGCTCGGGCGGGAGGGACGCTCCGTCCTGGGGCCGCCATCCCCCTCGCGGCCAGCATCTCTCCGCCGCCGCCGCCGCCGCCGCCGCGCCCGTCACCTACGCGACTGAGCCGCCGCCGCCGCCGCCGCCTCACCGTCGTCCCCGGCAACCTGTGCCGGAGCCCCCCTCGCCTCCGCCGCCTGTCATTGGCCGCGGGCTCCGCAACGGGCGGCCCTTGGCTGGGAGGGCGGGGCGGTTCAGGGCCCCAGTCGATACGCTCCTCGACCCTCCCCGCGCGGCCCCCCACCAGGCGCCGCCCCAGAAAGGCGCCCCGCCCAGCAGCGCGCCCGCCTCGACCCACCTGCGGCGGCGCGGCGGCGGCTGATGAGGCGGGCGGGCAGCCGCCGGTCTGCAGAAAGAAGCTTCCCCCACAGCCGGCGGGCCGAGCGGGGGGTTCGGGCGGCCCGGGAGCCTCGCGAGGGGCGGTGAGGTCTGGGCGGCGGCCGCGCTTCGGGGAGGGAGAGGGGCGGAGGCGGGAGCGTGCGAGCGGCCGGGCCTGCCGCAAGTCGGGGGCGGATTGCCGGTTTCCTTCCGCGCCCGCCAGAGCCGCCGCGCTTCTGGTGTGCTCTGCGGTCCACGCGGGGACTGAATGGCCGGGAGAGCGGCGGCATCGCAGAGGCGAACCTCCCAGGCGCGGGCGCACCAACCCCCCGGGTTAGCCCCGCGAAGCGCCCTCCGAACGGCACGCTCTACGGGCTGTGTAGTCCAACAAAGAGACAGACCGGGGAACGTGCTAGACGTCTCCCAATATTTGAGGGGCTGCCGCAAAGAAGAGGGATTCAGCCGAAGCCCCAGAAGGCCGGACAAGAAGCAAAGGACGGAAACTAATCCAGGAGAGGAGCAGCCTGGAACTAAGAAGAAACTTCCTGACAGTGAGAGCAATTAACCGGTGGAAGAGCTTTTCTCCAGAAGCCGTGGATGCTCCAACACTGGAGGCTTTTAAGAGGAGACCGGACCGTTACTTGTCCAGAATGGCAGGGGGTTTCCTACTTGTGCAGGGGCTTGGACTGGAAAACCCCCAAGGTCCCATCCAACTCCATTATTCTGTTATAAAAAAAATAAAACAAACTACCCTGATATCGATTGTAGGCAAACTTTGCAGCTAGCGGGAGATCAAGGTGAACTTAGTTGACAGCTTTGTGATCCAAAAGTTAAAGGAGGGAACTAGAGGGTCAGGTATACTGGACCTAATTCTTACTACAGAGAAACTTCGTGGGAGAGTGACTGTGTCATATTCAATATAATGAAGACATGACCAATAGAACAAAATCAAAATAGCATCTTAGACTTTAAGAGAGCTAATTTCAACACATTTCTCCCTGTCCGTCACCTTTTTGCCATCTTCCATTAGCAGATTGATCGTTTCCTTGACTTTTTTCTTATTTTTTAATGTTGAAATTTTTTAAAAAATATTTTTGAAATTTGTTGCAAGTCTTAGCTCAGTGATGGCAAACCTTTTAGAGACCCAGTGCCCAAACTGCACACCAAAACCCACTTATTTATCACTGGATGCCGGGTGGGCGTGGCTGCAGTGGTCATGGCAGACTGGGTGGGCAGAGCCAGGGCGGCAGCGGCCAGTCCCTCGCCATCTCCGGGGCATGACATGCGTGCCCACAGAGAGGGCTCTGAGTGCCGCCTCTGGCACGTGTGCCATAGGTTCGCCATCACTGTTACTTAGCTCATTCTGAACCTTAGCTTTCCTGATCATCTTTGCAGGCTATATGCTGGTATTCTGCCTCTTTCCATTTTTTATATTTGCCCTTTTTATCTTTCAGTTTATCAGAGATATTTGTGCAATCATACTGGTTTCTTGTAGGACTTGTTTTTCTTTTTAATTGCTGGACTGGGCTTTTATGATCATATTTTTCAGAGTTTCCCAAGCTTCTTGAGTTATTATTGAGTTACTGTTGTATTAAAACAGAAGTTACCTATTAGTTGAGAATTCCAGAGGAAATATTGGGTATCAGAAGATGTATTTGTTTAATGACTTTTTAATGGTTAAAGTTAGGTTGCTTTGTATTGCTTTGGCCATCTTTGTTATAGAATTTAATGGTCAGGAGTAGTAAGTAAACAACAAACAAATTGTATTTACAAAGAGTCTTGTCCTTCATCTTACCTTAACCCAAACCCTAAAGTGTGCTCCTCCCCAGAAGATGAAGACCCCTTGCCCTAAGGGGTGGTGGGAAAACCTTGTTTTCTTGCAGACCTAGAAGTCCTGGGTAATTATATTTAAGCAAATTAGGTCAGAAATTGAGGCTGCTATGGAAACCTTGCAAAGATCCCTTTAATTCAGTGGTGGGATTCAGTCAGTTTGCACCAGTTTGGCAGAATTGGTAGCTAATTTTTTATTGCCCAGGCCCAGAATGGACTTCCGGAAGTGGCATCCACACAGAGAACTGATTGTTAACATATTTGAATCTCACCACTGCTTTAATTCATCTGCTCGTGAAACTGAAAGAACAATCATTTAAAAGTTGTAAAAATGGACCGAAGCTCCTCACTTCAATTTGAAGAAGCAGGATTGATGGAACCATGAAAGATGATTCAGTGGAGACCTTTACTTTCAGCTGACTTGGGCAGCCCTGACCCACTCATCCCGTTGTGTCTTCCTTATTTGGCTGTGCTTGGCCCCACACACCATGTATGAGTGTGAAAGAGCTGCGTAAGGAGGAGGTCGAAGGAGAGGCTTTCTGAACCAGAGATAGGCCCTGTGCTGCAATAGGTTCACCAGAGGCTGCAATCAGGTAAGCCTGCTTTCCTTTAATTAAGTATTTAACAGCATCATCGAGGAAAGTTAAAAACAGAACAGCAAGAGAAGCAAAAGTAGATAGGGAGGATATGTAGAAGAATTACAAAATTAAATGAAAATTTCAAAATTACATTGGGTGGGTTTTACATAATAAAATAGGTCACTTTGAAACTTCAGATTATTAAAATCAAGATAATGAGCAATAATAAGCAAAAATAATAGTAAAGAATAAATTATAAATAGGAAAGATTGTAATAATTTCTGGGCAGCCCACGCCACTGTCTGGGAGTCCCCTGCGTGGCCCAAGAGGGACGGCGAGGCTCTTCTGGTGGACCATGCCCTTGCACCCAGTCAGAACCCATTCCTTTGCTGGAGGGGTCTTTTGGTAGTTAACTCTTTTCTTTTTCCCTTCTGTCGGTTCTGCCACGCTCCTGGGGAGAAGGGGGAAGCTTTGGGGAATTGCAGTGTATCTTCTTCCTTTCACATAGCCTCTACAATGTATCCTGTCCGCTTCCTCTATCTGCTTGCTCTTTGAACTGTCTCCCCTTGATACCAGCCTGGGGTGAGAAAGAAATGTGCGTCCAGCCATCTGGCTTATCTCTCACTGTGGAAGAAAAGGTGCAAAGACCTAGTTTTCACAGCCTTGGGAACTATGCCTTATCAGCTCCCTTCCCACAGCAGGCTTAACACTTGGGGATTGGCCCTTTGAACTGACCAGATGAACTATTGGGGTGGGGTTTGCTTCTTGCTCCTTAATGATTGGTTCTTGCTCCTTTAACCTATTGATTTGGGTAGAAAACCCTCAGATCCCGCGGGCCACGCCTCTCCCCGGCCATTGAGTTCACTTGTCAAAAAGTTGCAAAAGGGATCACATGACCTTGGGACGCTGACCGTCACAAGTATGAATCAGTTGCCATGTATTCAAATGTTAATCACATGACCCTACGGATGCTGCAACTGTCATAAGTGTGAAAAATGGTCATAAGTCACTTTTTTCAGTGCCGTTGTACCTTCAAACAGTCACTAAGCAAACTGTTGTAAGTCAAGGACTACTTGTACTTTATCACTTTTTTCCTTTTTTTGGTCATCAAGTTTTGGACACCTTGCTAGGTGACTGGGGGTACTCGAATATTGCCGTATCCTAAAAGTGGTACAGTTGGTGAAAAGGTTGAAAAGCCCTGCTAAATAGCATTCGCACCTCACAGGGCCTCTGCCGACTCTGTATAAATGGGACATAGTATCCTTCCCTCTGTCTGTGCAGGCAGGCAGCTCTCTGTCTGGTCGACCACCTCTTCCAAGGCCTGAGGGGCCCTGGACAGCATCATCTTCAGCCCCTGGGGCGCCTTCCGCTCCTCCTCCTCCAAACTGGCCTGAGGGGGCCATGACACACGCAGAGGTTTCATGTAGATGTTAAAAAAGAGATTACCTAACCCTGCGAGTCTCACAGAGGAGCTACGGTGGGCTGGACCCCTCTCCCCTTATTAGTACCAACTGGAACCGGCCTCAGAGAAAGGAACCAGTGCAACACTGCGCTACCCGATTCCAAATCCTGCAGCCCGTCCAAAGGGGTATTGCTGTGGCTGATGGTATCAAAAGCTGCCGAGAGGTCAAGGAGAGAGAGGACGGATGGCTACTTCCATCCCGCTGTCACCAGAGATCAGTGACAAGTGAGACCAACGAGAGTTGTGTCCCATGACCGGGCCTGAAACCATTTCAGGCTGACGTGAAGCGTGCGATTGTCCGGATAATTGAGGAATGGCAGCCAGGCGGCTCTAAGTCCACGCGGGCCTGGGTCGGCAAAGACCCCGCCTCGGCCCCCTCCCCACGGCCCCTCTTCCTAGGTAAAACCGGCGCCAGGCTAACGGCGAAGCGGGCATTCAAAGGACGCGCCCTGCGGGCAAGCAGGCGCCGCGGAGCAGGGCTCGCGGGCACAGCCGGGAACCGGCGCAGGCCGAGCGGAGCAAGAGACGCCGCTTCTGCCCCGCAGCCCGGATCCGAGGCGTCGCTTCCTTCGAGCCCCGCACGGGCGCCTCTCGCCGGGAGAGGCGAGGCGGCGAGCTTTGCCCCGGAGGAGGGTCTCCGCGGGGCGGCCCCGGCGCTCCCCTTCCGCCTTCGGGCCTGCCCACCCGCCCGGCGCCGCCTCCTCCTCCCTCGAGCGCGGCTCCGGCATGGCGGCGGCGGGTCCGGGCGCACTGGTGAGCGAGGGCCGCTGGTCTGGGGCGGGGGCGCCTCCGACCGGCGGTCCCCTCACCGCCTCCCCTCTTCCTCCTCCTCTCCTCCCCCCGCAGGACGCCCGGGAAGCGGCCGAGGCGGCCCACGTGTTCTCGCTGCCTGCCGAGGCCTTCGGGAACGACGTGAGTGCTGGGCGCGGGGCCGGAGGGCGGCGGGGCGCGGGGACTCGGCACGCTCACGGCTCTCCCTCCCTTCCTCTCTCCGGCAGCCGCGGCTGGAGGCGGCTTGGGCCGAGCGCGCCCTCCAGCACGCCCACGTCTACTTCCACGTGAGTCCCGGGCGGGGGGCCGGCGGGCCGGCGGGCGGGGGGTCTCGGCGCCGCTGACTCGCCCGGCTCTCCTGCAGCTGCTTTCGGCCGCTGACCCTGCGGGGCTGAGGCTCACCCGGGCCGACGACCGTATCTACGCGGCCTTCCGGCGGAGCTTCCCCGACCTGCGCGTCGACCTGCTGGACGTGGAGTCGCTCAAGTCGGAGCCAGCCAAAGAGGTGGGGGCGGGGTCCGGGGGCGGGGCGGGCTCCGGGGGGGGCCCGGGATCACGGCTCTCTCTTCCTCCCCCGCAGAAGTGGCGCCCCTTCTGCCTGCAGTTCGAGGGGGCGGTGGAGGACTTCAACCTCGGGACTCTCCTGCGCCTCGACTGCCGCCGCGGCTACTCGGAGGAGAACTCCGTGCTGGGTGAGCGCCGGGCGGGGCGGCGGGCTGGTGGGGGGGTCTGCGGCCCCGTGACGACCCCTCCTCTTTCCTCTCCTCTCCGCAGCGCCGCGCATCCAGTTCTTGGCCATCGAGATCGCGCGCAACCGCGAGGGCTGCAACGGCGCCGTCTACCGCCGCGCGGGCGCTCCAGAAGCCGGGCCCGACCCGTCCGGCGCCCGCTGAGAGACTGGCCGGACCGGACGCGAGTCGTGCAAGCGAGGAGGCGGGGGGGAGAGGCTGGGGGCTCCTCGGAGGGCGAGAGATGGGCCGTTTTGGGGAGCTGCCCCTGCGCCGCCTTCCTCCCCCGAGGGCGCCGGGAGGGCCGCCCGTCTTCTGGCTCAGCCACCGACGTTTTGCCTTCCGCTTTGTATGCCGGACTTCAGCAGAAGGTCCGTCTACATCTTGCCTTGTAAACAGTGAGTTCCGAGATTAACGTTGTGTGGCTTGTTTTTTTTCTAAAGATGGGCCCTCACTTGCCAGGCAGGGAGGCCCCCGTCGGGTCCCTGCCCTTTGTACCCCCGAAGAGTAACGCTCCGGCCTCGTTGCACGCAGTTCAGTAGAAACCACTTTATTTGCAGCCACAATGCTTACACTGTATGCAGCAAACATCCGTACAAATCATTCAGCAACCTGGTCACAGAAAAAGGACCCAGCACACAATCGCCAGAGGAAATAATTCTCCCCCCATCAAGGAGGTGCTATTTGGGGGGAGAAACCAGGGTTACAATTAGATCTGGGCTCCTGGGACAGAAAACTAGCAGCAAGAGGGCAGGGCAGGGCCAAGGGAAATCGGTCCCTGTTGTTTTCACAAAATTTAACATTTAACAAATGTTCCCTCAGCTTTAGTGGGAAAAGAGATTTGTCTGAAGGATTTACGGTGCATTTTCTTGGTGGGGGGATGGCCTTGTGGGGAAGAAGCTGCAGTTTCAAGAGCTCAATGTGAGGAGTTCGCAGCTGCTGCCAGATAGCCAAGTCCTCCCATCTTCCAAAATTGTGTGTGTGTGTGTGTGTGTTTATGGGCTCTGTGTGTGCACATGGCAGGAATGTGACATGGCTTTGAGCTCCTAATGAGGGAAGGTGGAGAGGGATGGTCTAAGTTGAAGGGAAAGATAAGAAAAATATACATTTGGAATTTTACACTTGTGCCTCTACACTAGTTACTAAATATAATTCTGTACTCTCACACCTCCTTGCCCAGTGATGTGGCAGGTAGCCAGGAGACACTTCACTTGCATATCACCCTCGCTCTAGCATTGGTGCACTATGTAAAAATTTCAGTCACACTTTTTTTTAAACTTGAGTCAATATAAACCTTGTTCAAAATGTTATGAAAAAATGTACATGTTTATACAAGGCAGGCCGTGGCAGGACACAGGGTTCCTCTGACATTCACGCAGGGAGGTGCCAATGGCGCCTCCCCAAGGGAAAAAACCTCTCTCCGAGTGAACCTTTTACGCCCCCCTCCTGCAGCCTAGCCCCAAGGAGGACCAGCAGGGATCGGAAACACCCTCGTGTCTTTCCATCGGAAAAGTTAACCTCCCCAGCCCACAGAGCAGCTCCTGGCGAGACGTCAGCTCATCATGTCGTTGCTGTTTACCCCGTAGATGGAATTTTTCATGGAATCGTTTACTTCTCGACGAAACGCAGAAAGATTCTGTGTAAACCTGTCAAAGAAACAGACGTTAGGATGGGGGCAAACGGACCTGCCTTTTTGCCCAATGGCTGGATGGCATCAGACAAGAGTTGGGCTCATTCTCAGGGAATCATGAGAATCAGCCAAATCCAACTTCTGGCCAAAGCTCAGTTTTCTAACGCCCTGAATGTCAGCTTTGAAAACATGGCCGCAAGTGAGGGGCAAACCTGATATTCCTTCAGCTCCTCCCAATTTTTCCTTCGTTTTCTTCATTGGACACTGGAGATTTGGATTTGAACACAAGCAAAGTGAAGCTACTTTATAACTTTGGAAAGGAGCCAAGCAGGTTCCTTCACCACAGGGATCAAATGCTTCTGAAAGGATAACTGTCCTACAGAATTCAACTGGGGACAACAACATTTTTGTGTTCCTCTGAGAAGGAAAAGTAACACGGGATGGCTGCACCGGGCTGGGTTAACTACGCATAGGGATGGGCGATCCTTTGAGCCCCGGGAGCCAGAGAACTTTGGATGGTGGTGTTTTGTCTTTTTTGTGAAGTTACTGACCTATCGCGATTTTTTGTCAGCAGGTTGCGCTCAATGCCTTCCATGAGATTTTCAAAGCAGAGATGCATAGCTTGTTGTTTCTCAGGGGGCTGGCTGTTTACTATGCTGTTCCTTAAATCTGAAAAATACTGCAAAGGAAAAGTTCACACTGTGAGCTATCCAGGATAATTTGCCAGCACACAATAGCACACTACCCTAAATCAGTGGCCTTACCTTTTCATTGAGTAGGATCAAGCCAAGCAAAGGCCGTGACATAGACCACTGGTTCCTGCAGTCTTCAAATATGATGATATTCAACACTGTGGAGAGCATCTGGAAGGATCAAGCACAATCCAGTCAACTGTACAGGTCTACCGAGCTCACACTGGGGTACTGCTGGGGATTATGGGGAAACTGGGAAGGAAAGGTAGACATAGTGGGCAACTCACAGGACAGCTTATCTAATAAACAGCAATTTGGTCAGATGTTTGGGGGGGGGGAAAGCAATTTGAAGTATTCCAAGAAGCATTTAGTCACTGCAAAAGAGTGAGAAATTGGGAGTGGGAACTGAGAACGTCTAGTATAACAAAGAACTGGGGGGGGGCGCATGATAGCAATCTTGCAATATCTAAATGGCTATCACCAAGACGACAGGGTCAACATATTTTCTAAAGCACCTGAGGGTAGGATGAGAAATAACAGGTGGAAGTTAACTGAGGAAAGGTCCAACCTCGAATTAAGGAGAAGATTCCTGACAGACAAAACCATCCATGGAACGGCTTCCCTCCAGAAGTTGTGGGTGCTCCATCACGGGGGGTTTTCAAGAAGGGATTGGACAGCCATTTGTCTGAAACGGTATTGGGTCTCCTGTCTGAGCAGGAGGTTGGGATAGAAGACCTTCAAACACGCTTCCAACTCTGTGTTCTGTAAATTCCTACTACACTTTTCAGAATTCTGTATTTACCACAGACCAGCATTTACAGAGGTTTTTCTGGAATCTATTTAAGCATTTGTTTCCTTGGTCTCACCCAGCTGCCTGGGTCCTGACAGGAATGCTTTATATCTGTTTAAAACCTTGTTCTTCAAAACTAAGCTTTTCCTAACCAGTAGAAATCCCTACTGAACCCCATGCCGTCTCCTATCAGCAGGTTCTTGGGATGCACAATGGAAATGTTGCTTTTACCTCTTCGGCACATCTTGTGTGAGCAGAAGGATGGGTCAATTTAAAGAGATTGACATTTCCCTACTTTCTGTCCATCCTGAAACACTTTATGGCAAAATCAAGATCTGTTGCATTGTGGGGTAAAGCAAAATGGACATCCTGTAAATCGATCATGCTGATTGTGTATATCCCCTTTCTTTTATGGTGAAGGAGCTTCTGCATCCCAGTAATGCTGTCAGTTCTGCCACTGGGAGTGCAGCCCCCGAAAGGCTGACAGACAAGGGAAGAGATGGGGGTTCAAGCACCCTGAAGTGGGGGATGCATCATGCCCAGGGAGTACCAGATTCCACCGAAACAAACAAAATGAAATGCAAAATATCAAAGCCTCAGAGAAAAAATTACCTAACTACCAAAGGCCACAGAAGGTATGAGATACTGTATATCTGAACAAGGACAAAAATCAAACAGGATTTTAGAAAAGTAGAAAAATGAAGGGAATCTGTTAGACAGGAATGATAAGGCAAACACAAAGGTTGGCCGGAGAAGCATATAAAGAAGAAAAGGTGATGAACGTATAGAACAACTAGAAAAACTTCCTATCTCTGCTTGGTACTCAAGCACCATTGCTGAGCGAAAGCCAGAGGTTTGGGAAATGAAGTTAACAAACCGTGGAAAATAGGGCTAAGGAAGATGCGGGAACTGTTCCACAACACCAAAAGTCGATGCCCACAGTTGACAGTCCAGTGGGGAAAGTGAAGGGATGCTCAGTCTACCAAGCAGCTGCATTCATCATGTTCCCACAAGACAGTGGTCCCGATTTTCATAATCCAGGTTTCCAGAATACCCGGAGCTGGTTCCCAAAGAGCAAGAAGCACCAAGATCACGCTCTCCACAAGTCCAACAGATAAGAAAATAGCAATAGCACTTAGACTTATATACTGCTTCACAGTGCTTTACAGCCCTCCGTGAGCAGTTTATGGAGTCAGCCTCTGGCCTCCAACAATGTGGGTCCTCATTTTACTGAACTCAGAAGTACTTAGTAAATAGTAAGAGTATCAATTATTGATCATTCTATGACTTTTGGCTGTAGTCCACACGGATTACAGTTCTTAAAAACATGGGTGTACTGAACCACCTCATTTGCAAGCTAAAGAATTTGTATGCTCACCAGGAAGCAATAGCTAAAACAAAATATAGAGTAACTGCTTCAAATGAAGTATATCAAGATTGCATACTGCTACCTATTACACGGATATGTGGAACATATTTTGAGAAAAGCTAGATTGAAAGAAAAAAAGAAATTGAAATTAAGTTTGTTGGAAGAAATATTCTGAGGAATGTTGCGAGATGCAAGGAATCTCCCGGTCACAGCATATGGCTGTGGAAGTTGGGCTATTGATAGGATGAACAAAGAAAAACTGAGCCCTTTGAATTGAAGAAAGGGATTGGGACTGTCTTGAATTGCCAGAAGAACAAATAGTTGGAGCAAAGCCACTCAATTCACTGGAAGCATTAAAAACCAAGCTAAAGCTTAAACATCTTGGAATGTGGAAGCAAGCGCCTTGGATGAAGACCAAGCGAGATGCTGATTGCGAGGCACTGTCATCAGGACAGGGATGTATGCTTGCAAGCAGTTACGTGCAAGACAATCCTGGCAAACTGCTGGCTTCTGCCAGGAAGAGTAAAAGGCAGCTAAGCATTTCCAGCAGAATAGTCACTTCATCCTCAAACAATTGAGAGTGAGGAGAAGAAAAGTTCTACAATAATTTCCTGGGGACAGAAGAATCGCTTCTTGTGACCTGTGTGTAAATATTCCAGTCAAGTGTTTTAGGCTTATATATATATATCAGGCAACGGCAAGGAAATAATAGGCAGTAGACAAAAAGCAGAGCTGCTTAACTCATTCTTTGCATCGGTCTTAACGCAAAAAGAAATTGTAGCCCAACCTACCAAAAACATAACTGAAAAAGACAGACTAGAAAAATAAGCAAGAAAATAGCAAGAGAACACCTGTGTGATCTTGATGAATATAAATCCCCAGGAACTGATGGATTACATCCCAGAGTTCTGAAAGAGCTGGCAGCTGTCATCTCAGAGACATCTGAACCATATCTTTCAAAAATCCTGGAGCACTGGGAAACTACCAGAGGATTGGAAAAGAGCTGACATGGTTCCCATCTTCAAAAAAGGGAAAAATAACAGACTCAGGAAACTACAGATCAATCAGCCTAACATTAATACCTGGGAAGATCCTGGAAAAGATAATTTAAAAAAACAGATCTGCGAACATCCAGAAACAAATAAAGTAATAACTAGAAGTCAGCACGGATTTGTTAAAAACAGATCATGCCAAATCAATCTCATTTCATTCTTCGACCAAGTGACTAAATTAGTAGACCAGCAAAATGCTGTGGACATAGTATACTTCAACAAAGGAGATCACAACCTACTTCTTGGAAAGCTAGAAAAAAGTCAGATAGACAACACCACCATCAGATAGATTTGTAACTGGCTGACAAACCATACTCAACAAGTAGTCCTTAATGGTACTATGTCTAATGGAGGGAAGTAACAGTGGGGTACCCCAAGGTTCCGTCTTAGGCCCAGAACTCTTCAATATCTTCATAAACGATTTAGATGAGGGAATAGAAGGAGAGCTCATCAAATCTGCATATGACACTAAGCTGGCAGAAATAGCCAACACCCTAGATGATAGGCTCAAGATCCAGATACATAGGGCCCAGTGTTCACATCTGTCAAAATTCAACAAAATGAAATTCAATGTAGAGAAAAGTAAAGTCTTACACTTAGGCAAGAAAAACCAAAAATACATATATAGATTGGGTGAAACCAGGCTTAATAGCAGAAACTGTGAGAGGGATCCTGGAGCCTTAGTAGACAATCAAATGGGAGCCAATGGTGTGCAGCGGCAGCCAAAAAAGCCAATGCAATCCTAAATTGCATTAACAGAGGGATTCAATCAAGATCATGTGAGGTACTAATACCACTCTATAAAGCCTTAATAAGACCACACTTAGAATACTGCAACCAGTTTTAGTCTCCACACTATAAAAAAGACATTGAGACTCTAGAAAAACTGCAGAGAAGAGCAACAAAGATGATCAGGGGACTGGAGGCTAAAACAAAGAGGAACGGTTAAAGGAACTCGGCATGGCTAGTCTAGTGAAGAGAAGGACCAGGGAGACGTGATAGCAGTCTTCCAATATTTGAGGGGCTATCACAGAGAGAAGGGGATCAACCTATTTTCCAAAGCACCTGAAGGCCAGACAAGGATTCAACCTAGAAATAAGGAGAAATTTTCTGACAGTGAGAACAATCAACCAATAGAACAGATTGCCTTCAGATGTTGGAGACACTTCATCACTGGAAGCTTTCAAGAAGAGACTGGACTGACATTTGTCAGAAGTGGCTTGGGCGGGGGGAGGGTTTAGACTAGATGAACTACAAGGTCCCTTGCAACCTGTTATTCTAATTTTAATTCTAACTCAAGGGCTATGACCTGGAGCTGATTTTAGAAATGCCCCCCCCCCCCAGTCCTGCCCTCCTTGTCCTGACCTGTTGAATCATCTCTGGGTGCTGCTGCATGATGTGGAGGAACCGATCGCTTTCCTGGGTCAATGGGGCAGACCTCTTTTTGGTACTGCGGGACAGCTGCTTGAAGAGATAAGTGACAATGTGGTCTAAGCAGGAGCAGCATCCAGTGCAAACCATGGTATCTGCCAGGAAAAGAGAAGGGGCAAAGAGGAATGAGGCCAGAGTTACGCCAGGTCAAAAATGCCTATTTAATTAGATGGATCATTTCCTTGGCCAAAAAACCTTGGTGAGCAGTAGCAGCCTCAGGCCGACCAAGCCCGCTGTGACCATCATGCACTCTTATTCTCCTGGCATGATTTCTTAAACCCTTCAGGTCCTTGGATAGGTTGCATTCCTTGTTCATATCTTAAGACAAAGCATTATGTGTCTTAAGTTTCATTGTAGGTACAGATAATTTTGCTAAGCCATATGATTCTTTGAGAGCAGCCCAGAAGTGAACAGGTCTCGGGTGTCATGGAATTCAAGGGTTCTATGATCAAACCTTGCAAGGTTCTCATGCAGTATCAGCAGTGGCTATAACAGCTGAAAACCCACCAGAATGATCAGTGCGAACCCCTCCTTCACAAACCTTTGTCCTCCTCAAGGGCTGATGGCTAGTCAGTTGAGGCTGCCAAATCTTCCTGAGAAAGCTAATGAGGGGAATAAAGATCTAATTGCTTGGGATTGCTCTGTCACCCACTTTGCCATGAAATGTAAGGCTAATCCTTATATCAAAATGAAGACACCAAACCAGGAACTACGAGGGAATTAAGGAAAGATTAAGATGTTCTACTGTGCATTGTGTCTAAGCCAGGTAGAGTTGGAGTCTACATTCCTTTGCTGCTGCTGCTGCTGCTGCAGAACAAAACCCCAGGGTGCCTGCTGGCCCCAACCATTAAGACTTTCTCAGCCCTTCCTCAGCTCTCAACAAGAGCCCTCAAACTTCAAACTCACCTAGTGCTGTGAGACCTTCTGAAATGGAAGATAGAATATACATGATTACATGTGGCTCCAGGCTAGCTATAAAATTCATGTGATCTTGAGTAAGAACTTCCAGTAAAGAATAGTAGGACTGGCTGAGTTTAGGGTAATCCTAAAAAAAGATAAATTAAAGAAAGGGATTAGGAGAACTGTGTGGGCCCAGAATGTGTGACAAATTACCTCATCTCACAGGTTTCACGACCTAACCATCCAGTGCTATTTTATATATATTCCTGTGGTTTTATATCATGTGACTGTTTTAACTCAGAATTCTTTCAATCTCATTATTAAAGATTTTGACAACTGACAATTGCTTGGAGAGACAGTCGCAGTTGTGGCTAGGTGAGCCTTTGTGCAATTTTGTGTTGTGTGCCAGTTGTGCCCTTTCCTGGATCACGAGTTCCTGTGCTCGGTCACTCAGGCCCGATCATCTCGCTTCTGGACTACTGAAACGTGCTCTGCATGGGACCACTCCTGAGCACTACACACTAATTGCTGGTTTGCTCCTAGGCCCAATAAAGCTGCAGGTCATCGCCTTTATGGCACAGGGCCAGGCCACCTGGGGGACCGCCTCACCCTAGGCCTCACTCGCCCCTGCAGGAGGAGGATGCGCTGGACCGTCAGCCCAGGGACTCCAACTAGCTGGTCCCAGGAGAAGGGCCTGAAAAGGGCCTGACTGCTGATTGGCCCGGAGCCCTGATGGGGCATTCCATGCTGGATTAAAAGACTCCCCCTCTGCCCCCTTGTACTTTGGTACCTTCCTTAGCAAAGTCTCGATTTTAATGTTAATATTTATTTCTTTAATATTTTATAATGTTTTTTTTATCTTGCTGTAAGCTGCCTAGAGTCACCTGATAAGATGGGCGGCATAATAAATGAATTAAAGTTATGCAGTAAGTCAGACGTGAAAAGCACAACACAACTTGTCTCACATAGCAATCACTAGGAATACCTTAAATCAAATACAGGCAGTCCTCAACTTACGACCACAACTGAGCCCCCAATTTCCTTTGCTAAGCAAGACAGGTGTTAGGTTTTGCCCCATCTGATGACCTTTTTTGTCACTGTGAAGTGAATCAATGCAGTTGAGTTAGTAACAAATCTGGCTTCCCCACTGACTTTGCTTGTCAGAAGGTCACAAAAGGGGATCATACGACCCCGGGATCACACAACCGTCAGGAATACAGGCCAGTCGCTGAGCAGGCGACTTCTGATTACGTGACCATGGGAATGCTGCAACAGTTGTGTGATAAAAGGTCATAAGTCACTTTGTTTAGGGTCGTCATAATTTCAAATGGTCACTAAACGAATGATGGTAATTCGAGGACCACCAGCCTGCCTCTTCCCAGGACCACAGGCCAATCTGGCATCGGCTCATCCACTGCGGGAGACAGCAGGGGAGAGACGGACTTTTGGCCCTCTTCAGCACTGCGTCTGAGCCTTGCAGTGCTGCATTAGGCAAGAAGTGAGAGTAAGGAAGCAACCCCCCCCCCAAAGAGCCTTTCACCTTGCACCTCAAGCGCTCCCTCCCCAGGACAAACTGCTGTGGGGGGCAGTCATGCCCCGGTCCCTCTGCCAGGGTAACAGCAGCTGCTGCCACTTTCTCGAGAAGCAACCTAGTGCCAGAACGGGCAAAGATCAGTTTGTAGCCCAGCTATCATTACATTATGAGGGAGGCCAAATTATGATGCCTCCTTTATGTACGGTCAGCAGCAGAGGGGAACAATTCCAGAAAAGTCAAGCGGAAGGGGAGGGAGGTGGGGGCCGGAGCCGCTGTGCATTCTTACCAGCAGGTCGCTGTGTGGGATGGAGAGCAGGAGCTTGATGAAAGTTTGCAAGGCGTTGTCGAGGGCATCGTCCCCATAGAGGCGGAAGACACCAAAGTTGACGTAGCTGCCGCTCAGGGCGGCTTTTAGCATGGAGAAGCAGATGGAAACCCCTTTGAGCTTCAAGGCATAAACCTGATCTTTTGGAACTTCCCCCAAAGTGAGGATACGGTTTCCTGCATAAAACAAGGCAGATATCTCAAAAACATTCCTTCAAAGGATAGTTTACTTGTGTGGCTCCTGGAAAAATGGAAGACGAAAAGCCAAGAGACAGTCTTCAGAGAATGTTACTGGAACCACAAAAGAGTTGCATTTGGTCCAGCCTTGGCACAGGGGCAAATGGTAGCAACAGCGCTTAGACTTTACAGCCCTCCCTAAGTGGTTTACAAATGTCAGTCTACGGACCCCAACAATCTGGGCCCTCATTTTACCAACCTCAGAAGGATGGAAGGCTGAGTCAACCTTGAGCCCATCAGGATCAAACTCCTGGCGGTGGACAGAGTCAGCCTGCAATGCTGCATTCCAACCCCTGCACCACCAGGGTTCCTCAGCAAAGCAAAGCAAAGCAAATGCCAAGTTCTGTTAAACTGGAAAAGGCTTCAAGGGAGAGCAGCTCTCGGCCTAGCTTTCTTTGCTGTTGAAGACCTTTCAAAAGTAGATGCTCTTTGGGAAGAGAACTGTGCAGACCATCCCCCTGCCAATTCAGAGCCACAGCAGCAAGTGGGCCAGGCAGTCCTGGGCAAAGCTCTCTTCCAATCTGACCCAGTTCAACAGCTGTGAAGGAAAAGGTACCCACCATAGGTCGTTATCATTTTACTTGTCTCCCGGAAGAGCAGGATGCCATTTGGGGAGGAGACATCGAACTGCAGCCTCTGGGACCTGAAAGCAAGTGAGAATAGAATAGAGCTGGAAGGGACCTTGGAGGTCTTCTAGTCCAACCCCCTGCTCAAGCAGGAGAACCTATAAAGCCCTACTTGTACCTTGGCTGAGACGCGCCATCTGAGTGGGCAGCCCAAGCCCTGAGCAGCCAGAGAGGTGGCCCTGGGTTCTAAACAAGGATGCCGTGCAGGTAAGCTTCAGGCATAAAGCTGCCCTCTACGGAGTTTTAGCATTCTTTTGAAAAGCGTTATACAGTATTTAGTGGCTGTTTCCACTTCACTTACTGAATGCCATAAACATCTGAAAGGAATGTCTAGGGCTGCCTTCCCCTCACAGAGAATGGGTGGGTGGATCCAGGAAAGGTCACTGCTATGGACTCTGGCCATGGAACCTGCCTGAGGCCAAGGACTTGCAAATACCAGCCCTGCCCCCTGGGCTGTTCCTGTCTGCACTCCTATCTTTTATGGGCTCCAAAGATGTTTTTTTTTATTACTGAGTAGTTCTTTAGGAGCTGTCTGAAAGTACTGGAAATTCATCCCAGCACTTTTAGCTAAGATCTCATCAATATTTATGTTTCTTAGAGCTAATAATTACAGTGTTCTCTCCTTATACCGCCTCTATCCTCTGCCTGGCCGTCCCTGTAGGACGGCCTTACTTCAGGTACCCAAGGAGGCCGCTTGGAGTCCACTTACCTATTGTGCACCAGCTCAGCCATCAGCTTGAGCACAGGGGTGGTGCAGGCTGGGTCATGGTACCAGAGCTCAACTGCCCGCTGCAAGATTGGCATGTAGGCTGGGTAGCTGTAAGGCTGAAGTTAAGGACCACCTGACTATTTCGAGAACCAACTCAGACATTCATCCTTCAGGTCAGAATAGCCAAGATGGCCAGATTACTGCAAAGATGACCACCACAGACTCAGTTGGCAAATAAAGGACTTGAAGAAAAGACAAATGATCTATTGGATCACTTCAGGTAAGAGTTAGTAAGTGTTAAGCCTCCTCCTCCTCCGGCTGTCTGCCCAAATCTACATTATTTCATCCACCTGCTCATAAATGTCAGAAGCAGAATACTACAGATCGTGTGCTATGCTGTGCAGGCTGGCCTTTTGACTAGCCCTGGGAAAGTCAAGCATAGCACGGCAGGTGAAGCACAATCTTCCCTTGAGCCATCAGAGAGAACTGGAGAGTCCAGCATTCAGTCGTCAGCCTTGTCCCCATTCCAGGAGGCGGACAGGCACAACAGTCAAGGATACATCCACTCGAAGAGCATCATAAAACTAGTCTTGGCGTTGAAGGCAAAGGCAATCCCCCTCAGGTCTCTCACAAGGCCAACCAACGTCCTCTGGATGAGGGGAAAGACGCAGGTTAAGAGGAAAGATGCATCGCTTCATGTCCTTTACATCACAATCACCCTCCAAGCCAGCTGTATTGGCTGGTCCAATAAGGAACACCCCCCACCCCCATTTCAGAGAATGCCTTCCTCAGGGATCGTGGAGGGGGCCTTCCGAACTGCTGTCTGTGCTGGGTGGAGGAGCCTCCTTCCAGATGTCCAGGCTGCTCCTGCCCTACGGGGTTTTAGGAAGACCATTGAAACTGAGCCCTTTAGCAGGTCTTGCAATTTGGGACATTTTAAAACTGTTTTTACTGGCTTTGGGATGGTTTTCTAATATAATTAATGCACCTAGTGTTTATATTTCATGCACAGATATCCATATAGACATTGTAATAGATATACTGTTAAGTGTATGTAAACACACACATTTGTTGTTGTTTTTAAACTTGATTTAGAGATCAGATATGCAAGTTTTCAGTCATCAGCAACTAGAGCCCATTAAATATGGGTAACTTCTTCTCAAAACTTCCACGGCTGAACTCCGGCCCATCTTTGCACTCCACGCCCAACAGACTCCATGCAAGACAGATAAAAATGGCTCCTAAACGGGTCAATATAGAATTGCCTTTTAATAATGCAGATTGAAAAGTTCTGCTGGGGTCAGTAATGAATGCCCTTTGCTGTCAGAATAAATGAACAGATAACAAGGGAACTTTAAGGTCTTCTAGTCCAACCCAGCTCAAGGTGGAAGTCCTTATACCATTCCGGATACATGGCCATCCAATCTTTTTTGAAAACCTCCAGTGATGAAGCACCCACAACTTCTGGAGGCCAGCCATTCCCACTGATTAATTGTCTTTACTATCAGAAAATTTCTCCTTAATTCTAGATTGGAATAATAATCTCTTTAATAATCTTCCATTAGGTACTTCTTGTCCTTTGGAAAATAGCCAACCCACTTTTCTCTGCGACAGACTTTCCAATGTTGGACTGAGGCCTGGGTGTCTGCCTAGCTGTGATGAAACCAAAGGCGTCTAATGTAACAGTCTGAAGGGCTGCCCTTTGTCTCAGGATGCCTTTAGCTCTGTCCCACCCTGAGGAATTACAAATGGAGGCAAAAAATTGCAAATCGTTAAGATCTTGTACTAGCATCTTCTCTACTGCAAGTGAAAGGAGCTACTCAGCATAAGAACTATGAGAAAAATATTATATTTACCCAACAATTAAAATGCAATATCCAAGCACATTAACATTATCTCTTAAATCCTGCATGCTGTGTTGATCAGGCTCCCTGATATTCTCATCATAAAGCTTATTAGTAATTTCTAAAGTAAAATAATATATTTAATTATTCATAAGTAATTTAAATTGGAGAAATATATCCTCCATGAATTTTTGATACTTTGTTTACCCATTTATATTTCACTCTTAGTTCCTTTACTTGTCTTTTAGTAGTTTTATGTTTTTTCTCTAAAATGTCTCATTAAAAAATATTGTAAACATCCTCAACATTTCTTTCTCATCAATGGACCCTGACTAGTGCCAGTAAGTAAAGCCTCAAAAGGACATAAAATCAGGGCTCCCACTCTAAAAAGAGCAATACTTTGAGATAGAAAAAAAAAATGAAATTCAGAGGAGGTAGGACACAAAGGCTTGTCCAGAGGGGCCAGGAGCTCAGCGGGTCCAGAGTCTGCAGCCCACTCCTCAGCCAAGGAGCAGTGTCAGAAATGGGAAATGCCGGAAATAGACGGTGTATCTAGGGTATCAAAGGGACATGGCAGCTGTCTTCCAGTACTCGAGGGGCTGTCACCAAGTAGAGGGGATTGGCTTATTCTCTTGGGCACCTGAGGGCAGGACAAGAATGGGTGGAAGTTTAGGAAAAGGAGTAATGGGTGGAAGCTTGTTAAAATGAGATCCAATATAGACATAAGGAGGAATTGTCTGTCAGTGAGGGCAATTAATCAATAGAATAGCTTGTCTTGAGCAGCGAGATGGACTAGAAGACCTCCAGGGTAGGGTCCCTTCCAAGTCTATGATGCTATGTTTCAAATGGGAATCTTTCTGGATGGCTTTCCAAATCCAGCCCGTCGCCCTTCCTGGGTGGCACCCAGGGAAAACTCCTTGTGTCAGAAGAGATGGACTCTTGAGGGCCCTTCTGACCCAATGCGTCAGCCCTCCAGGAGGAGGAAGACCAGGAGGTGGTCTTCATCTGACCCACAGAGAATTTAACACACTCCAAAGGTGAAGCTTTCTGCTCCTTCCCTACCTTTGCCTCCTGCTCATTGAAGGTGTTGGTGCTGAACATTTGTGCCACAGTTTCAAAAGCAGCAGTGAGGGGTAACATGAATTGCTCATACTGATCTTCATCCTCCCCTGGAAGAGATATGAAAAACAATGATCTTTAACAGTCCTCTGCTTTGTAACCTGGGCTAAAAATCTAAGTAATTCTTAGATCCATCTGGTAAATCTTGGGGACTTTCATCCTCCAGGAGATCATTCAGATCTATACTTGCAATGGGCAATATCTGGGGTGAGGTAACCAGATGAACTCTTTTCACACTGAATAATCAAGCTTTATAAGAAGTTGACAGATTAAACTGTTCCTGTCTAATTAGTTATGATTAGAATGACAAGAACTTAGCTGCATGCATTTGGTAGCATGGAAATGGGTTGCAGTACCGAGGTCCACCATGAGGAGGCGCCCAAGTGCCGTATAGAAAGTAGTCCGACATCTCATATCACTCAGGTTGGATTGATTGTTAATACCCAAGAAGGAAAAGTGCTCACTCTGTTGAAGAATAAAAATCGTATTATTAATGAGGTGAAATTCAATGGTGAAAAAAGTAAGGCTCTACATTTAGGCAAGAAAAAACAAATGCACAGGTACGGTGGTGGTGGTACCTTGCTCAATAGTAGTAACTATGAGAGGGATCTCAGAGTCCTAGTGGACAATCACTTAAATATGAGCCAGCAGTGTGCTGCAGCTACCAAAAAGCCAACACGGTGCTAAGCTGCATTAACAGAGGGATGGAACCAAGAGGACAATTAATCAGTGGAACAGCTTGCCTTCAGATGTTGTGGGTGCTTCATCACTCAAGGTTTTTAAGAAGAGACAGGACAGCCACTTGTCTGAAATGATACAGGGACTCCTGCTTGAGCAGGGGGCTGGACTAGAAGACCTCTAAGGTCTCTTCCAGCTCTATTCTGATTATGATTCTAAGATCATGTGAAGTGTTAATACCCCTTTACAATCCCTTGGTAAGACCACACTTGGAATACTGCATCCAGTTTTGGTCACCACGATGTAAAAAAGATGTTGAGACTCTAGAAAAAGTGCAGAGAAGAGCAACAAAGATGATCAGGGGACTGGAGGCTAAAATATATAAAGAATGGTTGCTGGAATTGGGTATGTCCAGTTTAATGACAAGAAGGACCAAGGGTGACATGTTAGCAGTGTTCCAATATCTCAGGGGTTTCCACAAAGAAGAGGGAGTCGAGCTATTCTCCAAAGCACCTGAAAGCAGGACAAGAAGCAATGGATGGAAACTAATCAAGGAGAGAAGCAACCTAGAACTAAGAAGAAATTTCCTAACAGAACAATTAATCAATGGAACAATTTGCCTCCAGTTGTGAATGTTCCAACCCTGGAAGTTTAAGAAGAGACTGGACAACCATTTGTCTGAAATGGTATAGGGCAGTGGTTCTCAACCTGTGGGTCGGGACCCCATTTGGGATCGAACGACCATTTCACGGGGGTCGCCAAACAACGCAGTCCGCCATTTTCTTCCCCCTTTTCCTTAGCTGTGCTACTCCCTTGTATTTTATTGGCCTTTGAAAGCCAATAGAATAGACTCTCTTGAATAGAGTCTAATTCTATTGGCTTTCAAAAGCCAATAGGAATTGTCCAGGCTGTCTCTGCCCTGCTGAGCCCGCCAAAAGTCCCATTCTGCAAATGGTGCTGCACCAGTTGAGTAGTCCTTGACTTACGATCGGTTGGGGGTCGCGGCATTAAAAAGGTTGAGAACCACTGGTATAGGGGTTCCTGCCTAAGCAGGGGTAGGACTAGAAGACCTCCAAGGTCCCTTCTAACTCTGTTATTCTATTCTATTCTATTCTATTCTATTCTATTCTATTCTATTCTATTCTATTCTATTCTAATTCTAATTCTAATTCTAATTCTATTCTGTGCCATTCCATTCAGGAACAGACACAAGATGAGTCCTTGGCATATGGACACCATGGAAAGTCAGGCTTCAAGTGCCTGCCTTCTTTGCCCTTGTATTTGCCAAGGAACTAGCATAATTGCAAACCTGGGGCTTTTTTCCTCCTTCTGGTAGAGTCCAATCCAATGCAGGTCACTGACTCTGGACTAAAACAGAAGTTCTGAGTACTCCATCACTGGAGGCTTTCAAAAAGAGACTGGATAGCCATTTGCCTGAAATGATATAGTCTCCTGCTCGAGCAGGGAGTTGGACTAGAGGACCTCCAAGGTCCCTTCCAACTATATTTCAAATATGCTTAAATCAACTTGCATTATTTATGGTATTTGACAAGCAGCGTTCCTTTGTTTGACATGCTATTTTAGGCAGCCAACTCCTAGAGCAGTGGGTCTTAAACTGAATCTAATGCAGGTAGTCCTTGCTTAATGACTGGTCACTTAATGACCAGTGAAAGTTACAATAGACTTCAAAAATGCTACTTACAACCTTCCCCAAAGTTATAATAGCCGCATTTCCAACCCCCCGCCCCCCCGTGCTCACATGATCCCATTTTGGGCATTTGACAAATGGTTTGTATTTAAATCCGGCTGCAGTGTCCTGAGATTGCATGACTGTGATTTGCAACTGGTTTGTGTTGTTCTAGTGCCGTTCTAGAATCAAGCTTGTGTCTATATAACACACTGACCTGTGTGTTATATACACCTAGGCCAAATATAGACAATTTTGACCTCAGAAGTCCATGATTGGTGTGTGTGTGTGTGTGTGTGTGTGTGTGTGTGTGTGTGTGTGTGAATGAACGCTAATGGGCAGCAGAGCACAGGAAGAGGGAGGCTTTCTGAAGAGTTCAGAGTTCAGATGCCCCTGAACAGTCAAAGCGTGGAGAGATGTTCTGTGGGCAACCATACTGGAAAGTTTTTATCCGCTAGAATAGTGCACGGTCAACTACAACAGGAATGGGCAGACAAAGTGGCTAAAATGTCAACAGGCTAGCAGCGTGTGTCCTTCTTGCCAAGGTCCATCAGGAGAGCTTTCAATCGATGGCGGTAAAAGTCAAATTACTGGGGGAAAACCTGCTAGGAGACACAACGCTTTGTTTTGCCCAAGAAGGGCAGGATTGACAGGACTAGGATAATTTGTATGGCAATGTCTGAATTTTAACCTGCTTCCCCGTGGATCTACAGCTTCAGCCCTTCTTCCCTCTATAACGAAAGAGGAAGCCTTCAAAGATGCCCCAGCTGATAGTATTTGGAAGGCAACGCCTCCAATAAGCTTTGCCAAAGAACTTGATAACTAACCGTGTGATTGTTCAGCATGAATTGCACAGCGCTCAGTTTCACCAGTTTCCTAACGCTGCTGTAGGTAAAAGTGAGGTTAAGGAAACAGCAAGACATCAGCCTGATCAGAAAATTTCATAGGCATAACGTGAAGGTTATCTAGCATGCAATGGTGGGTACAGATGTTAGGTTAACAGACTGCCACTGGATCTGTTGAATGGTGTTGCGGGGAGCCAAAGTCCAAAACATCAGAAGGGCACCACCTGATCTCTCCCTTCCTCTAAGTATAGGTGTGTTAAAAAGTTTAGGCATCCCTGGTAGAATTGCATCCACTTTTTTCTTAATTCTGAATCTGTAAACACTTGGCACATACACAATACATATGCGTGCAAATTGGCAGATGGAGGACACTTTTAACTTTCTGTTTACTAAGGAATTCACTGAAACAGTTTGACTAGAGAGAGCTAAACTTGCACAGGGCTCATCTGCAGCTCTCTGCCTGGACAGGTGTCTCCCCTTAGCAATGGCAATCGGGACCATATTCCCCCATTCCACCCCAATTTAATCTTCATCTTACAAATATATAGTTAATGTATTTATTATACGCTATCATATGATTATTTATATTTACTGTTGCAATATATCTGCTGCTTATCCTACTCTAGTCTTGAAAGGAATCCTATGAGAAACAGGGCACCAGGCACCGAGGAGCTTTCGAGGGAAGCCTCCCCAGGATGCCTAGAGCTCCCCTGTCCCAGCCCAGGTAGGCCGACCAGCCGGCAGGAAAGGATATCCAATGGAGAGGTCATTGAGAAGCTGCAACGTCTTGGAGGTGATTGGTTCGCACCGTCCCCAGTACTTCAGGTTAGTGATTCTGTAGGGAGAGGAAATGCACACCGTCCAGTGGTTGCTCCTTTCGCCTCAGGCCTTTCATCCTCCCAAAGCCCCAGTCAACAAGAAAGCTCAGAGATGCTGGGGTGGAATCACTCATCTCTGCTGTCCCAAAGCTGCATGGTCCAATGTTTGGAGGGGGGGGGGCTGCCTCTAGGACCAATACCTGCAGTCGGGGCAGACTGCCAGCCCAACAAGCCATCACAGGCAGAACCCTTTCACACAGACCCAGACTGCAGGGTGCAGCCAATGCTCAGGTGACAGCCGAAGGACTTACATTTTTCCTATGAAGACACTCAGGACCATGGTCTCATCATTCAGCCCCAGGACTTCTGAGAGCCGGCGATACAGCTAGGAGTGGAAAACCGATTTCAGCTCAGGCGGCTCTTAAGAATTCACTTTCAATCTCGAGCTAGGTTCCTAGAGCAGATCAGCTGCCCTCCTCCCCAGCAAAAGCCTGTCTGGATGCCTCAGAATCAAGCCCCTCACTGGGGACTTGACTGAACCCTTCCGCTGCCTCCAGTTCGGATGGCCTGCAATTGGCCACCTGGCAGCTTCTCCCCTTCGGGCAGGATATGCCAAGAGCTGGTCTGAAAGGAGGTCACCTCGGATACGGTAGTTGCCCAGGGGACAGGCGTCAAGTAAGATACAAAACTGCTTTGTGCAAACTTTGTGCCAGCAAATTCCAAAAGCCACCATCTCGAGAATCCTATGCTGGTGGAGGCTTTCATGCCTGGTATCTGTTGGGCTTCAGGATTTAGTGACCATGGTCTAGAGAACAGATGACCCGACACTTTGCCAGCAACTCTGGCCGACACCTTCACAGGAAACTGAGCAGGGATCGACTGGGTTCCTGTCTTTATAGCTGAGTGTCCTGACTCCTGGCTGGCCTTAGCTGAACTGGTTTCCAAAGAAGTTGATTCAGGAGGTGTTAGAGTCACAATCTACAAAACACTCAAGTGCGATCCTGAATGCTGCAGAAACCTAACTGCTTTATCAAGCCTTCATCGGTCCCATCCCCACGTGCCACATTGCCAAATGCCTTGCAACCCTCGCACAATCATATACTGTACAAGGAGTCCTCAATTGTGATGCTGCCTAGAATTTCTGTCCTATGAAGGTTGTAAGTCAAATCTTCCACATGACTGACTGATTTTATGATATTTGGCAGTGGCTAAACGAACGCTGTGGTTCTAAAGTGAGTCAACCCACTTATTCCAGAACTGCAACTACCTGGAGTGCCCAGAAGTACAAATTTGCAGATGACTTAAATATGAACGAACAATGTGCTGCAGTTGCCAAATGCCATAGTGGGCTGCATCAACACAGTGATAGCATCAAGATCATAAAAAGGAATAATATTCCTTTATACTGCATTAGTGAGGCCACACATGGAATACTACAGTTCTGATCACCCCAATACAAAGATGTTGAGATGATAGAGTGCAGAGAAGAGCAACAAAAATTATTAGGGGTTTGCAGACTAAAGCATATGATGAACACTTGAGGGAACGAGCTTTATCTAGCCTATCCTAGATTAGGGGGCACATGATAACAGTCTTCCAGTATTTGAGGGGCTAGGGAAGAGGCAGGTCAGTTCATTCTCCTAGTATCTGAGGGCAGGACAAGAAGCAATGGATGGAAGCTTATTAAAGAGAAATCCAAACCAAAAGGAGAAATTTTCTGACAGTGAGAACAATTAATCAATGGGACAGTTGAAGTTGTGGTGCTCCATCACTGGAGATTTTCAAAAACAGATTGGACAACCATTTGTCTAGGATAGCATAAGGTCTCCTGCACTGAGCAGGATTGCACCAGAAGACTTCCGACATCCCTTCCTGACTTATGGTTCTATTTCTATGCATTCAGACATCTTAACCAAGCTCCATAAGCTGATGGGTACTTCATGAGTGAGATTAGATGAGCATTACAAAACAGGCAAATAATAATAAAGACAAACCACTCCAATAGGGAGGGCATTTATGTCCTACGCTGAGAAGGTCATTGACCGAATAAGAAAATTATTAGAAAAACACATAAACTAAGAACCAATCAGGAACCAGAACTCCAAAAATGACCAATCAGAATGAACAAAGGACCAATCAGGAACTGACATCACCAAAATAACTAATCAGCATTGGGCACAAACCAAGAAGTAACCAAAGAGAAGACCTCACCAACCTGCCCCAGCTGAAAACCTCAAGGCCAATGGAGACCCCTGGCTATCAAGACAGGAGCCCAGCCTGTCCTTACTCCATCACTTGTGGCCTGTATGGGACCCCACTTTGCTTCTGAAGGTGGCAGCCACAGCTGCTGGCAAAATGTTAGGAAACCTGTTCTGCAGACCACGGTCACTAAACCCTGAAGCCCCACACTGACCAAGAATAATCTGCAGATGAAGAGTTTTTATAAAGCTTATCGTGAAAACATGAAAAATTCTGTAATGAGAAGAGATCCACTACAAGTATTTTTTACCTTAGAGGATTTCTGCACCTGGTCTCCTATGTAAATTTTTCGGAACTGCTCAAAGAAGCTCAGCATGGCCAGCTCTAGCTTCTCATTGCCTGCCTGAGCAAGACGTGAATCGGTCAAGTTCATGAGCTGAAGAACCCTGGAAAAGCAGGAAGGGAAGGAATGAAGAACGCGGCAGTGCTGAGGCCACAAGTCCAAATTGCTCCTCCATCCATTTATTCAAAAGGGTATTTTTTTTTTAATTTAAAAATGGCAGGCTGCTGACTTTCTGTGTCTGGTTGAATTTGTAGCCCTTGTAAAGCTGGTCCACAGAAAACCGTATGAGGAGGACAAATCACACGGGTTCCTCTGAAATCACCTTTTGGCTCGGGAAGTCTAGAGACAAGCATTGTCACATAGCTAAGTGCCAAAAGTGGGCGCTTCTGGTACATTGAAAACCACTCTGCTAATTTTGCCACATCCAGAATTTCATGCAGGGCTGTCAAGGAGACCTTAAAGACTCAGAAATATCTGACTGATGGAAAACTTTTTGTTTTCATAACATTAAAGAACGATCAGAAAAAGGATCCTTTCAACATGTTTTAATTTTAGAATTTATAAATTTTACTTGACAAGATTACATTTTGGAGAAGGTTAAAAAAATCAGCAGAAGGAAAGCTTAACTCAATTAATGGCTACCCTACCTTTTCTTTTCTTTTAGCAATGGTTGAGGTGTCACTTTCTCTTGAAAATAGCTGCTGTGCTTTGACCACAAACTTTGAACTTTCCCATTTCAAAGCCCAGCAACCCACCGATTTTCAGTATTTAGTTCTGTGTTCTGCATCCAAAACCGCAGAGTTTGTTCTGTAGAGGTCGCAATGAAGTGCACATGCACACCCAGCTGATTCATAAAAACATATATTCGGGTTGTGAGTGCTGACAAGGTGAACAGCCAGTGCAGCATAATGCTCAATTATTACTATTTTTATTAATCACTTATTGCAGTCAGCCAGATGTTCAGACTGGATCTGGCATTTTAATCCACGTGTCGAGTGCTTCCCAAAGACCCGGGACAGGCAGAGGTCGATAACAGAATAATGGGAAAATGTTGGATTACTCCCTTGGATGGTATTAAAGGGATTGTGGCAGGATTCTTATTGTTGGTGCTAGGCTCTTACCGACAAACCAGTTCTCCATCCATGGCATCTTGCTCGTCTGTGCTGGCAAATGACACCCGCCCGCCAATCACGGCCCCAATGATATAGACCAGCCAGGTGAGGCGTCCTGAAGTCAGAAAAAGTAACAGAGCTAATCTATAAACCTGTCTTCTCCCCACACACCTTTCCTTTATTTAGACTGAGAAGGTTGCCCCTCTTACTCTGGGCAGCCAGCCAGCAGGCAAAACCATCCATGTCATACACACACTTCTCACATCAGCCCTCACATAAACACATCCAAAGCACAAAAAAGGCAAGCAAGGGAAAACCCAGCAACAGAAATACACACAACTCATGAGCTCATCCCGCAGAGTGGGATGGGAGGCGGGTGGAGGCAGTTGCAGCATCCCTGCAGTTGGTCATACGGGCAGCCAGAGGATCAAGCGCCTGAACTGTGATCCTGCGACTGCAGGGGGCGCTGCAGCAGCCATAACTTTGGGTGCAGGTCATAAGGCCTTCCTTCAGCACTATCGTAATTTCAAATGGTCGCTGAATTGACGGTCTTAAATTGAGGACTGCCTATGGTCTAAGATTGGAAAAAACTAATCCACCACTCAGAAATATTGCAAAATTTTGAATGTTAGGCTTGTTTCCCCCCCCCCCATTTCACATAAATCTATTAATTGTTCTTTGCTAATCCTGCAGTTGTTTATCTGGGGCCACTTGATTGGTGCCACTTGAAATAAGTTTTATTTTGAACAATACATTTATTTTTTATTCTCGCCCAAAGAATTAGCCAGGAAAATTTTAAGCTTTTCCGATAATATACTGGTAAGACTTGAAAAGCCGACTGGTGATGTAGTCAAAACTCCGGCTCTTTGTCAACCTGAAGGGAAGAAGATTCCGTGGCTTTCCTGCCCAGTGTGTGTGTGGTAGGGCAAAGGCACTCTGATGCTTAGAAGCAGAGTTTCAAAGGTATAACACTTCTGTGGTTTATGTGGCTCTCCTTTTCATTAGATAGGAACTAATTCTGACTCTCAACTGTTAATTAACTTCATCCTGCATTAAAACACTTCCAATCTGTCCTGTATTGTTTCCAAGAATCACAATCCCCAATCATGCGCAGCTCTGCTAGAGAAACACTGCACAAGAAATCCCACTCGCAAGGGAGGCTGGTCTACCTGATTAAGCTCCGGCACCCCGAGGCTTCCCTTATGAAACCAGCCAAGCCAAGGCAGGAGACTTCTGCTCGCTCACCTTCTTGTACGGCCACATCCACGGGGATGGCTGTCGCGCTTTGCAGCAGTTCCTGGTAGGATTGAGCGGACTGGTCAAACAGCTGCACTAGGAGGGCACAGGTCTTCTCATATTCGCAGCGCCCAATAGTGGATAGCTGGTCGAGCTGCTGCTGCACCAAACCTGTGTCATCCAGTGGATCTTCTAGGCCATCTCTGTGGGTAGACAAAGCAGCCAATGGGAGAGAGAAGAAGCCTCTGCCAGACGCTCCCTTTGCAAAGGCAGAAGGGCCCTGGGAGCTCCGCTGAGGAGGCCTGCAGATTTACAGTGAAAACGTGAACGCAGCAAGGCCCTCCTAGTTGCAGCCAGTGTTATGGCAGGGTTCTTCAGACATTCCCAGGCAACGATTGTGAGGACCAGCCGCTGCCAGAACATCTTACCTCAGTATGATGTGGACGGACTCCAGCCTGGAGGTGATGTATGCTTTGGTAACCTCTGGGGTGTACGTCTCCAGCATGTGTGGCTCGGTAGCTTTAACGTAGGGAACAGATGCTGCCAGACGCTGCCACAGGCTGAGGAGATAGTGCACGCTGTTCGGAGCAAACTCCCAGTGCTGCCGAAAGGAAGGAAGGAAGGTGGTGAACGCAATCAGCCTGCCTATAAACTCTTCCTACTCAGGGGAAGAGGCCTGTTCAAGCCATCTGCAAGTAAAGCGACCGGTTCCAGCCCCAAAGAATGTAAATTCTGAAGACTGGGGTCCTAAGGGAAGCCGTGCCTTTCCCTGCCCATCCGAGTTCAAAAGGCCCCCCATGGTGAAGAAGCAGGAGCTGGGAGGAGAGAAGTGACAGCTGCTGCATTTGTGCTCCACCTACCACCCACAGATTCGCTCCAGCAAAAAGAAACCACAGTGTCCCACCTGCAAGCTGGTGACAGTGAAATTGGCAATGAGTCGGATGACCTCAGGATAGTTTTCCACTTTTACTAGCTCCCCGAGCTGATAATTGCTTTTCAGACGAGCTAAAAGCCGACAGAATTCATGATAGTTGTTTGGGTCTGACAAACTCTGAGACAGAAAAAGAGAAGAAGGAGAATCATCAGTTCTGCATCAACCCCTCAATGAGAACACTGGAGCTGTTACATGAAGCACTTGGACACCTTGGGATTGACCGAGATCATCCCGTTACACCAAATACAAAGCCTCCAGCATTAGGCTAGCCTGGGACTGCTGGGTCCACAACACAAAAAAGATGCTGGAGCCCTAGAAAGAATGCAGAGAAGAGCAACAACGATGATTATCGGTCTGGGGGCTAAAGCGTAGATGAAGGGTGGAGGGAAGTGGCCTATCAAAGAGAGGGTGCACCAGATGTCTAGTTAGCCCCAATGTAGTAGAGAAGTTTACACCTTGGGAACTCAAAACCCCGAAAGTGTTCACCCAAGTAGGTGGCTCACTAGTAGGGAGAGGCCCTGCAACTTTCTCCCTACCTTACTTGCCAGGGGGAAAAAACTCTCCAGACTGCCTCAATGTAACAGCATCAGGGAGGACGTCGTGAATTCCATCATCCCTTCCAATGAAGTAGCCGCCCCAGCGATCACCAGAGCGCAGGGAAAATTGGAACCCAAAGTAATTGACGATCTCACTCATGCTCTGAAAATGGCCCTAGCAGGAGATGACTGTTCACACACCACAAAAATGATGTTACTGTACATGATGGCCGTGCTTGAATCAGGACCCAACTCTATGTACCCGCAAGCCTGAGGACTCTGGTCTTGCAGTGGAGCCACAATTCTAAGACAGCTGGACACTTTGGTTTTGTCAAGACCTTGCACCTTTTGAGGCGCCAATTCTGGTGGCTGAGAACGAAAAAGGACATTGAAAGCTATGTTACCAGTTGCCCTGTAGGCTCATCAGCGAAAAGACATCCTGGAAAACCACCAGGGCTACTGCAACCGGTGGCCAACCCTACAACTCCTTGGAAGGAGATATCCATGGACTTTATTGCTGAACTGCCAGAAAGCTCTGGAAATACTGCAATATGGGTTATCACCTAACTATTTTCTAAACAGGTGCACTTTGTGGCTTGTCCCAAAATCCCTTCTGCATGAACTCTTGCAAACTCTTTGTGCAACATGTTTATAATTCCATGGGCCTCTGAGAGGATTGTCTCTGACAGACAATTTACGTCTTAATTTTGGGAAGAATTTATAAAGCTCTTAAGGACTTCCCCGGGACTCAGTTCCTCTCATCACCCTCAGACTAACAGAGCCTGAGAATGCATGAATAGTGTCTTAGTGCAGTATCTGCAATGTTACATTAATTATCAACAGGACAATTGGTCAGACCTTCTTCCCTTCGCAAAAGTAGCATATAATAATTCAATACACAGCAGCACCAGGTTTGCACCACTCCTGTAGCCACTGGCTGGGACTTTGTCTCTATGCCTGAACTCCCCCAATATTCACCCCAAACCACATCACTAACTGAGTGGGTGAAGTCATTGAAAATTACATGGCCAGTTGCTTGCAAAGCACTAGAGGACAGAAACATCTTTGTAATACAGGACACGTTAGCAAGATTGTTACCTAGACCACCCTTCAGTTATTTTTTATGTGGACTTTTTGTGCTTTAAGCAGAAATGGATTATAACTTGCTATAAGGTCTGCTAGAGAGATCTTTAAAAAGATAAGGTAAAATTTCCCCTGTCCAGTCGTGTCCAACTCCAGGGGGCGGTGCTCATCTCCATTTCCGACCCGAGGGAGCTAGTGTTGTCTGAAGATGCTTCCATGGTCATACGGCCAGCATAACTATACACCAAGGGACATAGAATGCTGTCACCCTCCCACTGAAGTGGTACCTATTTATCTAATGGCATTTGCATACTTTCAAACTGCTAGGTGGGCGGGAGCCGAGGCAGGAACGGGAGCTCAGGCAATCACGCAATGCTTGGGTCTTGAACTGACAATTCTCCGGTCAACAAGCCCAGCATCTTAACCACTAGGCCACCACGCTCCTGGATAGATCTTATAAAGATTTAAAATACGGTAAATAAATGAAGTGAACGAAGGACAAGCTGGAGGATATTCTATAGTTCTTCAAAAATAATCTTTTTTTTTCTGAGCCTTCCTCAAAGGGAACCTTCACTGTCTCCATTTTGCACATGACTGCAAATGGCAACTGCACACGCACCAGCCTCAGCTGGAAGCAGACACCCAGGATGAGTTTCCGGACATCTATTTGAAGCTTCGAAGGACAATTTGTGACAATGTTCATATACATTTGTTCTGTTCACATTCTGACTTACTTGGGGATTTTCCAGTATGCGCTTGACACCATCAACAAGGTGTGACAGGAACTTGGCTCTTTCTGCATTATTAAATAGGGACCGCCGGACTGAGGCAATTTGCACTAGACAGGACAAGACCTAAGCCAGGGGAGCAAAATAAAACCATGAATTGTTTGAAGGAGTGAGCCCCTAAGCAAAAATGATGTGCAAAGGCACCTGAAGACTGTAACAACACAAGCATGTTCTCTTCTGGTGGGAGGTGGGGCAGACAGAAAGAGCAAAGTATTTTTTCTTGACTTTGAATGTAGCTGGGCCCAGATGTATAGTACTACTGGGGTCCCACCCACCCTCTGATCATTTTCCAGGGGAAATCTATGAGACAGAGAGATACTTACCAGGGGTGAAAAAGTGGGAGGTATGGAATGGTACAGATCAAAAAATAACTGCAGGGTTGAGGAATCTAGAAAGGCTGAAAGAGAGACAAGCATAATTTCAGGTCAGACTTAAAACAGCGTATTGCAAACATCCTTCAGGCCAACACTAATGCACAGCAGGACTTAGGGCAACAATTAGCTGCCCTACTGAGGATTCTCTGGCCAAGTAAGAGAATTAAGGTGTAAAAGCAGCTACTCCTCTTTGCTCTCTCCACTTAAACAGCATGGCCCATTCTTCCTCATAGAATATCAGAGTTCGAAGGGACCTTGGAGGTCTTCTAGTCCAACCCCCTGCTCAAACAGGGGATCCTACACCATTTCAGACAAGTGGCTGTCCAGTCTCTTCTTAGAAACTTCCAGTGATGAAGCACCCACAACCTCTGAAGGCAAGCCATTCAACTGGTTAATTGTTCTCACTGTTAGGAAGTTTTTCCTTAATTCCAGGTTGCTTCCCTCCCTGATTAGTTTCCATCCATTGTTTCTTGTCTTGACTTCAATTCTTTGGAAAATAGATTGAGCTCCTCTTCTTCGTGGCAGCCCTTCAAATATTGGAAAACTGCGATCATGTCACCCCTAGTCCTTCTTTTCAATAATTAGCTATACTCAATTCCTGTAACCATTCATCATGTTTTATCTTCCAGGTCCCTAATCATCTTTGTTGCTCTTCTCTGCACTTTTTCCAAAGTCTCATCAGCTTTTTTTATAACGTGGCGACCAAACCTGGATGCAGCATTCCAGGTGTGGCCTTACTAAGGCTGAGTCAACCTTGAGACTGGTGAGATTTGAACTGCCAAACTGCTGGCAATTGGCAGAATTAGCCTACAATATTGAATTCTAACCACTGCGCCACCAGGGCTCTTTTACTATAGATAGTAATCCACAGTTGTATAAAAATGATTCCTTGCAGCTACTGTAAGAGTATGTAAAGTATGCACTTTGATTTTAATGGAAATGTAAGGAAAAGAAAAAGAAATTTGGGGGGGGGGTTATTGAAAAGCTAGAGTTCAGCTGTGCTGTGGTTCATCTCCTCTCTTTTCAGCAGTGCAAAGGAGAGGGCTGCTTAACAAAAACAAGGGCCTCTTTCTCCCCAGGGAGGAATGCCGAAAAGGAGGATTGCACCATTTGCAGGAAGGAGATTTTACAGAGAGAAGATTCTGCAAAGATCTGCAGCAAGAGGAATTACACCTCCTTTTGCAGGAAATCTCAGGCTATTTTTTTTTTTTTTTTTAGAATAGGCTTTGGTCTTAGCCCTCTATCTCTTGCCTTGGAAGATCATGCCTATGTGGTCTTGAAGTGCTCTGCAATTATCCCTTTCCTCCCTGCCTCCTTGTGATTCTGATTTATCCCCTTCTTCCCTGTCTTGCGTTCCGTGCTTATCCTTATCCTTTCTGCCTGCGCTGTCAGTGCTCTTCTGGATCACCTCATTGCCCCCAGTCCTCCCCAGATTGCTTTTAAAACCACGGATTCTATGTATTTCTTGGAACCTCTATGCTTCTATGCTATAAATCCCAACTGCCACCTTTTGAATGCCCGTGAGTTTGGCTCTAAACCAGGGGAAGAAAGCTTTCTGAAGTGCTTGGTTTAAACCACAAGGCAATTATGCTGAAAAGAGGAGGGGAAATGAGATCCGGGAGAGAAGTCACTTTCAGGAGGCATTTGAGAAGAAGCCCAGAGGTCCCTACATCCATTAACTGCATACAGGTACTAAGGAGTATGCTTGCAAATATTGTTGTATTTTCAATCAGCAGAAACCTTTTTAAATGCATTTATGGTCTGAACCGTAGGTGAGCGCAATTACATCTGGGTCATTCCATGACAAATCAATGAAAAATGGTATATTTTATCTGGAAATTCTGCACAGCCATTAAGTATGACTAAATATATATGCAGCCAATTATTTTCTCTGCTGATTGAATTATACCACCTTCTACTGCAAAAAATGGACTCTTATTATTTTCCCTATGCACTAGAAAGCTGAGATATGGAAGACTTACTGACAGTCAAACAAACACATAGTGTCCAATTATTCAGGAACATGGCCATTTATTATGTTCTAGGTCCAATAGGATTTCGGACAATGGCAAAAATTACTGCTCTGTGTTGAAGATTATCCCTTGGCTTAGTCTTGCTCTCTCTTTGGTTAGAATAAAGCCCCATCTTCACCATTTACTTGCTCCAAAACACACTTTTTATAACTGGCTCATCAGAAGAAGAGAATTCTGCCTCTCTTGCTCCCTCCCCCATGTATGCCAACCTCTCCAAAGGCCACAATGCACTTAGCTGATATTCCAGGTTATAAGAAAGTAGAACAAAAATTAATCATGCATAATACTGCCGTTTTTTAAAAATTGTCTACTGGCACAGTAAACAAAACTTTATAATAAAAACAAGATGGAAAACTTTTAATATTTAGTGACCAATGGCCCAATGGAAGTAATATGCAAGAGCAGATTTTCTTTTTCTCCAAAATGATGACCAGACCAGACTATTCCAGGTCAAGGGAATTCTACTGCATTGGCCGTTATGGAAAGAGCCTCTTGCCTCACTGGGATGAGCAGTTATCTAAAGATTCTAATCTGGTTACTAGGAAATGCTTCTTAGGAGTTGAATGACATTATTTTCTCTCTGTAATGATCACAGCAATTCTCTAAGGAGGGTACATGTTTTCCCCATCTTCTGAGTATTCTCATGATTATTTCTGTGGACCCACTTAGGCAGCTTGCAAAATTGGCCAAATTGGAGTAGGTTTTTAAGAACACCCTCCATACGCTGTGCCAACCCAAAGGCAAAGGTTTCCCAAGGCCTGTACAACATGACTCGAGCTATGTCTACAAAGATCAAGAGAAGCATGCAACTACAACCCTTTAATGCAGTTTAAAGAAACGGAGCAACTCAGCCCTTTACCTGATCTCCAGCTGGTAGGGATCTGCACTGTGCAGAGATCGTCAGATGACTCGTCTGTTGATGTACCAATGAAGTCAAAGTTCAAACAATTGTATGTGAGCTTGAGAAGCTGCATAAGAAGACCATGCTGACTTTCGTCATTCAAATTCAGGTTTTTTCCTGAAGCCTAAAAAAAAGAAAACCGAAATGGATGCAATTTTTAAGACATCAGCTGGGTATGAAAAAATATTTTATTTCAGGTTTCTGGTAGAACCTGATTTCCTAAGGAACCAGGAGTCTGTCTATCTTGTATTATTCCCCTTTAAATCTAGAAGCCAAATACAGAAACACCTAGGTATTTAGTTAGTAAGCATGCCTCATTTGGAAGACAGTAGCAACATTTTTATTCATAACCTTGGCTTGTATGGTTTGGTGCCTTCAATGAATTGTTAGCATTAAAGGATTTCTTTTATATATATATATATATATATATATATATATATATATATATATATATATATATATATATACACACACACACACACACACACACACACACACACACACACACACATGTATTGTTATGTGTGTGTGTATTAACGGTGAGCTGTATTTTACATTTTGTGACTTGGTCACAAATGGCATATCAAATAACAAGCCAAATAACTACAGGCTATTTTTAAAGTTGCCTTGTACACCTTGAACATGTACCCTACACCAGTGGTCCCCAAACTTTTTGGCAGCAGGGACTGGTTTCATGGAAGACACTTTTTCCACAGACTGAGGCTGGGGGAGGAATACGTAACCTAGATCCCTCGCACGTGCAGTTTACAGTAGGCTGCAAATACAATATGAAGCTTCACTCTCTCAATTGCCCACCACTAACCCCCAGCTGTCCGGCATGGTTCCTAACAGGCCGTGGACCAGTCCCATTGGTTGAGGACCCCTGCCATAGGCCAAACCATCAGAATATAAATGCAGACTTCAAAAAGAGCTGCATTTCACTATAGACACTGCAGAGCTTTTGACAGAGATCTCTTGTAGCAATCTGGACTAGAAACAATTGAGATCAGGTTTCTCAGAGTTTCAACTGGAAAAAGAATTCAGACTACAACATAAAATTCCAGCAAGTCTTCAAGTAAGAAACCTGTATATAGGCAAGTAAAGAAGGCAAGATTCTGGTTCATTTTCCAAGCAGAAGCAATGAGGTGTGCCTCGTTTGTGAAGGTGGGGCAGTTTGTACCTGTTGTTTGTCTCAAAAAGCGCTAGTAGCCTTCTTACCAATATGAAATTCAGGCCTCTTAACACTTAACATTTGCCTCCAGATTGGGAAGTTCTGAAAAACTCGCTCCCACAGAAGCCCGAGCTCCATCTTCACATTACCACTATGGTTTTGGGACATTAGCTGGGCTTCTTGCCAGCAGAGCCTAACAATCCTACTTTATCATATACAGAAGTTGCCATACCAGGCTGAAGTTAGAGGTTTTCAGAGCTCTAAATCTACAGTAACATTGGATTTAATCATTTTTACCTTAATCATTTCACTCAGTTGTCAACACTAAAGCACTAAGGTCTCAAGTTTTCTTACCTGTTTCAGTAAATTGCAGGACAGCGTGAAAATATCAAACAAAGATGAGTCGCGGAATGAGGAAGCAATTTTCCTGTGCTTGGTCAAAGGATGTGTAGTGTCTGCCTGGAGATTGAGAAAGGGAGAAAAAGAAAGCAAGTTATCGTTAGATCTTAAATGCTCATGATGAAAATAAGAACAAGGATTTGTGGGGGAGTCATGATGGCCCTGACTCTTTCCAGATGTGCCCCAGATGGCTGCTCCTCCTAGGAAGATGTACCCTTCAACAGCCTTCATGCTCACAACTGTGGTGGAACATTTGACTAACTTCACTTTTGGAAATAGCCTATTTAACTATCTTAAAGTTATTAGAGACTTTTGGAACAAATCTGAAAAGCCATCCGGTGAGTTTACCTTCATTTGTGAACTAAAAAAAATAAACTTATTTTTAAATAAACTTAAGAATGTAAAGAATTGTAAACAAATGGCAAAAAGGTAAATAAAAGTTTGGTCTAAAAAAGTTATAAACAAATCAAGGGACAAATATTCCAGACAAATTTGGAATATTGAGACTTTTACTATAAGATTTGGGAAAGAATTTTGGAAAGAATTATTTAAATAAACAGCTTTTCAAGAGAACCAAATTGTTTTGTCTCACTTTAATCATAATAGAAATTTGAGACTTTATGATATCTGAAACTGGACACTAGAGGGGACTAAAAACTCCAGGCAGTGTCTTTGCCTTTGTTTGTTTTTTTTTGTTAGTATGGAGATTTACAAAACAACATGTTACAACATTTGAAATTTGAAATACTTGTGGAGATTTTTAAATGAGGATAGAAATTAGTAGCTATAAGGTCAATGTCGGTAGTGATGCTTCTATGAATAGACTATTTCCAAAAGATGTTAATGAAGGAATGACAGATGTGCAACAAATTTTGCCTACTGTAGAAATATTGGAACCAGAAATATTGGATAATAAAAAGTGTAGATTGTAAGACAGGGAAGACAGATAAAATGGAAACACAAATGACAAAAAGAATGACTGAGATAAGGACATTCAATTGGATATACAAAAAGTATTGGATAAAGCTTTGAAAATCAAAATGGAGATACAAATGATAGACCAAGATTATAATCTGGATAATGGTTTTTTACAGGTTTTACGAAAGATGTATGCTAAAGCCTCGAAGAAGCCTTTGGGATGGGAAAAGAAAAACCATTTCCCATTTAACTATCAGCATTTGCTTCCATTTCTCTTTTGAAGAAAAGGATAAATGATATGAATTATTTTATCTGTACACTGGCAGAATCTAAAATCCCCCATAACATCAAAGAATTGCTCAGTACTGTAGTGTATATAATCATGGTATATCAGTCTATACAGACAAAGCAAGGATCATTCAAGATTGAAATATGCTAAATAAAAGTACAAAATCTATTGTTTTTTAAGCACAGATGGTGTCTGCTGGGCCAAATCAGTCTGGCTGGGTTGGTGCACTCCAGTTTCCTTCAACTGAACAATGTCATCTGCCAGCATCCGGGAGTTGCACCTTCTCTGCAGCAGGGCCTGCCCACTGGAACGGGGCTCCTCCCAAGATCCAGGGGCTTCCGAGAGGCGCTCAGGTTCTAGCTCTTCTCCCAGGCACTTGGTGAGAGTGAGCAAAACCCTCTTGGATTGTGAGGATTTCTTTCTTTCTTTGCATTTCCGTCTGATTCTTGTCATGTTGGCCATCTTTTTTCTAGCTGTATTTTTGACGGTGCTTTTACTTATGAGCCAACCATAGTAGTAACTGGGAATTGAGGGGCACACAAAACCTGTCAAATCAAGCCATCCAATCAACAGGTTACACCAGGGCTAGTGCCTGAACTCTATCTCCTCGTTATACCAGCTGGGGGTCCAACATCTTCCTGCACTGCACCTGTCCATCACCCTTTTCAGCCCTGGAAGCCGCTGTCCACGTCTGCTGAAGCTACAATGACTGCTAAGAATCAGCAATGGAGGAGCAACATGCACTTTCCCTGGAAAGAGGAGATGGACAGGCCCTTTGCGAGGCGCCCCTTTTCCTCACTTCTGAACCCCCCCCCACCCCCACCTAGCTCAGAGGGAGCACTAGGGACCTCGACCCAATTCTATCACATTGGACCGTCTGCTGTCACAGGAAAACAGAGATGCTTTGTAAGCGCTTGCTACCACCTGCTGAGCAATTAGCCTCCTGTTGATTTCAACCAACAATAGAGACCACCAAAGATCTCACCTAAACCTCCATTAAATTTTACAGTTTTCAGGCCAGAGTTTTCAAATACCTGCGTGCTTGTTAGTAGAAGCCAGCAAGCCTGCCTTGGGATTAGAAAAAAAAGATACAGCCTTCAAGCTTCTCTATAGAGATAGCACAGCGGAAGGCTAGGACTGCTGAAGGAGTGGTCTTCTCCAGACATATCAAAATTTGGAGGACAGGGGTTGCCATCTGTACTTCAGAAGAAGATAAGACCACACCCTGGCATGGGGAACACGCTAGCTTTTAAGTTTTCCCAGAACTCTGATGGCTACCATGCATGACAGAAGTAAGTAGATATTAGGAAAGACTTTTCCAAAGGTGGAGCTATAAAAATGGAACGCTCATCGTGAACCTACACAATATTATTGAACAGAGGGTTATCTCTTTCGAGATCACTGTTCCATCCAAAGCCCTGCTTCTATTGCTCAGGAATTGTGCCAAAAATGGTAAATTTTAAACCCCAGTGGAGTGCCAGTATTTCTTACCAAAGCAACACACGTCTTTACAAACAAATCAGTGCACAGGCACAAAGCAGCACAAGGAAAAATGAATGAATAAAGTTGACACTTACTTCACTGAGGAAGGCTGAAGCACTTACTTGATTAATTTCATTTGTTAGCTGAGACAAGATTGTCACTCCTATGATGCAGTGCTCAACACTGTCCTAAAGAAAGAAAAAGGAAAAAAGGTCTCTATTGTTGTAGTTTACGGCTTAAATTTATTACTTATATAAAGCTGTCTGGCAGTCTGCCCCACAAATCACAAGTGTATCCCTTCTTCGAAGTAGGATACCAGTAGAAGTTTCCAACCACATTTTGCAAGCAACTGAGATTTACTTGCAATTGTCACTAATTATGGGTCCCTTGTAGGACTGGCTTTCCTGTAGTTGTTTGATAGTCAGTAGATCTATAACAAAATCCAGCTATGTGCCCAGCAGGTGCTGCATTGTCTTTTTATTTTTATTATTCTTATATATATATGAAATATGCTAAAAGCGTGTTATATAGTTCAAGGCAGAACAGGATTCTTCCATGCCCTTTCATCTTAATTTCTGCTCTTCAATACTGTCACTCCAATAGTCAGGCAAAAGGAATGACAAGTCGAGTGAACAAATTTTAGCTAAGCAACAGAAAAAATATTCCAGTCACAGAAGGGGGCTGTTTTAGAAAGCACGGGGGGGGGGGGTGTTGTTATTGAATTAGATGGCTTTGGAGTAAATCAACAGCTACCGGTCCTCACCAAAACTTTAGCACATTCTAGTTCCTCTTCCTGGAAGCTTTTGGTTGGGCACTCTGAGAAACAGGAAGCTAGATAGTGGAAGCCTTTGATCTAGTGATTGGGGCAGATAAGAATTTTAGCATTTGGCTTTGCAGTTTTCTTTTTGTTGGCCTGATACCCATAACAGTACTGATGAACACTGGTTGTGTGAAACAAGCTTACTATTAAGGAAAAAGGATAGAAATTACCAGCCAAAACCATTACATGCAAATGAAAAGTAGAAGAGATAAAATACTGACCTGCAAAAATCTTGTGACATCAGTGATGACATTTCTGAAAACATATTCATCCTTCTGGCAGTCAAACCAGCCCAGCTTTGTGATCCTGGCATAGAGCTGAATTAGTGCTTGTGTAACAAATGTGGCCAGCTTAGGTCTGGTAGCAAGATAATTGAGCACATAATTCCCTGAAATAGATGCATCAAATAAAGAAGAGTTTAGGAAACACTTAGCTGGGAAAAGTTAACCACCACTGAAGCAAATACATGCAACTGGGACTAGGCTGCTACTTATTTCATGGAAGACCCACCACATGCCTTGCATGGGGAAAAAGAAAACAATGAGAGGAGGCAGAGGAACGGCTTTGCAATGAGCCCACACCATTCAGCTCAGCATCATCAGGCAAGATCTGGCCAAAGTGCTTTCACTGTGCCCTAGCCAGTTTGCCTGACCTACAGACAACAGCATAGCTAAAGCAAGGTTCCACAGAGCTGTACTTCCTACCCCAGAGCTGCTGCTACTGATCAGCCAAAGCCCTCGGGGTGACCTCTGAAAGGCTGATTGCTCCTTCCCAACTAGAGTGAAGCTGCCTTGAAAGCCCAGGCAGACCAGGAAGGAGGAGGTTTTGAGAGAACTGGCCTTTTCCTTCCGTGTCTGACACTCCCTCACACTGTTCAAAGAGCAGCCAAAACAGCTGTTTCATACTTCTCCTCAGACTTTTTAAAGGTCACTTTATGGTACAGTATATTACAAAAGTTATTTAACATATGTCAAGGAAAAGGGAAGCATGCACATATAAGGAAGATAAGCAAGGCAAGTTCATTCTTTTTCCTCACACTATAGGTAACATAAAAGAGAAGATTCTATGAATATTCACTTTCTATCCCAGCATATGTTCTTAAACTTTTCAAATAGTCAATCTGATCCTAGGCAAGCCAGACCTTGGGACTGAGCCATCCAGCTTTGCTATACTCACGTATGTCTATGCGTTGTTCCAAGGGCAAAGGGTTGTTTGTGCGTGACACCAGTTTTGTAAGGCATGTAGCTGCCAATAATTGGGAATATGATGACTGTAAAACAAACACAAAGAAAATAAATCATTCATATAGATGGATAAATTCTGTGATTCTGCTGACAGCTCTTAGTGATCCTCATATTGGCAAGATGGCAACGTACCAATATTTAATAATCACCTTGAACCATGAGATGGGTGGCATATAAATTTAATAAATAAATAAAATAATAAAAGTATCTTTCATTGAATACTTTAAATTCTAGGTAGATGGCCCAATAATTGGGTCTCCACAAACATATTTGGCATAGCCACATTTTAAAGAATGACTGTATCTGTCAGTTGCATATGCCTTCCTATATCAGATCATCAAGATATATCCCTAAACCTGCAGAAAATATCCAGCCACTTCAAAAGTAGTGTTGTGCATTATTTGTCTACATACACTCCCTCTTTCAAGGAGAAGCTGGCACTTGTTCAAGCAATCTGGGCTATTGGTAAATTCAACCAGGGCTTTCTCTGCCTGGAGCCGTGTAGTGGTGTCCGTTGTCTCATAGAGTTGCTTGCACAAATTCTCTAGCTGGGCTAGACTCTGGAATAAACCAAAGAGAATTGAGTTAAGATTTGGTTGGTTTTGCCATTTTGGAATACATATCATGATAGAAAAAGCAGAGCTCCAGCAGACACTTAAAAAATAGCCTAATATACAGTATCTGGTTTTGCGTTATCACTACTGAAACCCTACTAAGAATATAATTCTGGTAACATCTGATACGGGTTTTAACCCCGAGTTAAAATTTAATTCCATTCCCTAACTCTGTCTTTAACCCAAATTTGTATTTCAGTCAAAACATGGACTTACAAACAGGTGCCCATCACTGGAAAGGGTGGAGAGCATTGTCCTTCCTTCAGCTGATGAAGCACTGAAGCTGCATATTTTCAGGAAGCACTGAAAACGGGCGGTACATTAAAAATGCCTGGCTTCCGTGTGGTTGGCCCTCTCTAGCACTAGGTAGCCCGTTCGTGTCTTACATAAGGTTGTCCTTAAGTTGGTCGTTCTTAATCCAAGGCAGCCTATACTACGAAGTTTAACGAACGGTAACTTTTATGTGAAATTTACAAGCTCTTTGACAATGTAACAGAGCTATTCCACAGTGGAACAGTTTACTGAAGCCACACCACAAAAGCCAAGGAGCAAACAAATCTGGACACTATTTAAATCTGCATGGAGGAGAGAGTGTCAAGTATTTAATCCCTAAATCCTGAAGGAAAGGGGGAATGTAAGTTGATCAAATGAATAAAGGTAAACAGCAAAATATGTTGATATGTTACTATGAATATGTTCATATGAAGTTCCATTAGATCATGTGTGAGCTAGATTCAATGTATGGCTACGCAGAGACTTACTTCAAACATTTTTTTACTTCAACAATTCAATTTTTTTAAAGATGGCTTGAGAGATTGCCAGGGATATCCAAATATGAAAATAGTTTTTGTGCTTGATGCTACATCTTCCTCTCAGCCACAGGAGTACTGCAGATAATTTTGAACAAACACCAAGTTAGTTTGTACGCTTATTTCCCAATTACCAACTAATGAAGACAAGGGCTAGGACTAAGCAAAGGCTTGGAATTATTCTTCAGTATAGTTGGACAACAGCAACTCTTGGAGTCATGATAATGACAGTATTGGGCATACCGACTTTCTAGAAAAGGAGTCCTGTACATGTGAGATAAGGATGCAAGCATGAAACAGCCTGAATATACTTGGTGCATCTCTCAACAAAATGTACCATCTCTCTTTGTTCAGGATTTTATTATTTTTAAAAAACATTTATATGTTTAAAAATATAAACAATTGCAGGCAGGCAACTTTTTGATGATGGCTATGGGCTGGGATTTTTCTGAAATGGGCTTCTTAGGATTCTAAGAATAGCTACTTTTAAGTCTGTTTTATATCTTTCATTAACAGCTTTGAGCATCTCCCACCTCAAAATAACAGAACCACCTATCTTTAGCAACTGCGGGCTCAGACAGTTCTTAAAACAAAAACAATTTCAAGACTGAGTGAGGCCACCAAGTCCCCCAATGGTCACTCTGCTTTGTGGAGCTGAAACTGGTGAAAAATCATAAAATTGACATAAAAAGTCAGTTGAGATGGGTGGCTACAGAAATTGAATAGAACATAAATAAAAAACAATTATAATGTTGAGCATTGTATAGTACTGAATTGAGACTACTAGGCTCTGAATTCTTCAAAATTTCAATTAAGAATTTGAATGAAGAGGTGGAGAGAAAGCTTATAACTTCAGGTAATACAAAACGGGTCATCCTGGAATATTCTATACCCTAGAATATAAAAACCAAATTTAACATCAGCTTCATAACAACATATTGGAAAAAGATTGGTTGCTAAAAATAACCAACCTCACATGGGGGTGGGGGGCAAGATGGTCTATTTATGGGCAAAGTTAGAACCTACAGATAGAAGCTGACTGAAACTTTGTTACAAAAAGAATCAATAACTGAGGACTGTAAAAAGATACAAGAACAGAATGGGATGCTAGTAAAGACTTTACGATGGTTATATAGCAAAATAGCAAAAAAAGACAAAGACGATGCAGTTCTTAAAGGAGATAAAAATGACAGAGGAAGAACTAAAGAGCTCTCCAAGAAGAAAAAGTATCTCACAGTAAATGACTGAGGCGCAAAAGACCAGGTCCACACGTGAAGGTTGAATGTAACTGATTTATTGCTACAAGCCTGTGCACGGTGGGCACCTGGTTAGAGTTAGATACAGGTCAATGGCATTCAAGGGGGGGGGTGGACTCTGGGAGGTGAAATCCACTGCAGGTTAAGTTCCACTTAGGATGATTTATTGCTTAAGCCTCAACACAAGAGTCTAGTCAGCTAAGGGTCAGCACTAAATTGCTAGATAAAAGTCAACTGAGTTGGGGGGTGGACTTGGAGTATTTCTGGACATGTAATTTGTGGACATATTGGCTGCGTCCCCTCTTGACTCCATCCCCTCTTGGCTCTGCCTCTTCCCCTGTTGGCTGCCTAGTATGACTCTAAACTCCCTCCTCTAAGATGCTAAAATGTATAAACTTTTGTTTAAATTTGAAACAGAAAAGTAAGTTAAAAACTACATGATAGAATGGGCTAAGAATTTTGGTTATAATATATGGATCAATGGAAGCGTCGTAGTGTAGGGCCTGTTGCCTCCACCAAGAGACCCAGATCCATGGGACATGTGCTGCTGCTCCCCATCTTAGCTCTGCTTTTCCTAGTGTGCTGGACAAGGAAGGAGCTTCTGTAACTGTCCCTGTGGCCCCAACTGCACCAGCTGCAGCTTCTGGTGCTCTTCAAGAACAGCCTTATGTAGAGTACACCGCTGTAGTCCGACTGGGCAGTGACCAAGGCAAGAATGACCATTACAACCTCTTGGTCCATTAGAGCTAAAGTAGTGCACAATGCCAAGTTGCACAAAGGGTTTATCTTCTAGGAGATTTTTCGATACTGTTGTCTCTCCACAAAAGCGTCCTGTGTCTGACTTAAGAATTCCTCATCCACCCTGATAAGCTGGGAAGGAGAGTTTAGTTCAGCCTAAATAGAGAAAAAACTCCTGTTTGGGTTTCCTGTTCATTTCTTCACTGCGTTCATTCTCTGGGAGTTGCCACAAAAGCTGGGAGCAAGTGCTCCAGTCACACAAAACTGGACAACCAGCACAAACCATTCGGCAGTCGGTCCCCTCCTCAGCTCTTCCTCCTCTCTGCCAAACTGCGGGCGGGCGATCCTCGACACACGACCAGCTGAGCGAGATGTTTGTCCAGTGAGTTTTGCCCCATTTTACGACCCTTCTTGCCACACTTGTTAAATGAATCACTGCAGTTGTTATGTTAGTAACACTTTCTTGCCACAGTTGTTAAGTGAATCCAGTTTCCCCGTTGACTTTGCTTGTCAGAAGGCCAGAAAAGGGAATCACATGATCCCCAGGACACTGCGATCATCATAAATATGAACCAGTTGCCAAGCTAAGACAAAATTAGTCTGGCAAAATTTTGTTCCAAAAAAATTATCTCCCACAAATTTAAGGGTATTGAAGTTTTCCATTTTTATTATTTCATGCCCCAAACAAAAGGAAAATAATTTTCCCCCCTCCCGGCATAAACAGTGAGATTCAGTGGCTGTGCTGAGGCTGGGCCTGAAGGGGAGGTTCGGGCCTCGCCTCAAGGCCGGCACCACGGCTGCAAAGGCCGCTGGGCACCACCGGAGAAGGGCGTGATGGCCCCCAGGATTCCATTCTATTCTATTGTTTAGTAAGACCACACTTGGAATATTGCATCCAGTTTTGGTCACTACAATACAAAAAAGATGTTGAGACTCTTGAAAGAATGCAGAGAAGAGCGACAAAGATGATTAGGATGCTGGAGGATAAAACATATGATGAACCGTTGCAGGAACTGAGTATATCTAGTCCAATGAAGAGAAGGACTAGGGGTGACATGATAGCAGTCTTCCAATATTTGAGGGGCTGCCACAGAGAAGAAGGGGTCAACCTATTCTCCAAAGCACCTGAGGGCAGGACAAGAAGAAACAGATGGAAACTTATCATGCAGAGATCCAACCTACAACTAAGAAGAAATTTCCTCACAGTGAGAACAATTAATCAGTGGAACAGCTTGCCTTCAGAAATTGTGGATGCTCCATCACTGGAGGTTTTCAAGAAGAGACTGGACAACGATGTTCCTGCCAGAAGTCATCGAAAAGTGTGACAAATACTGTTTCAGATCCATGCCTGGGTCTGAAACTGTTTCATTCAGGATCCGCTGAGGGTGCTGTGTGACCATCTTCTCCACCACCTTCCCTAAAAAAGGAAGGCTGATAGTGGATGAGAATCCTCTACAGCTTTCTAACCCAGCAGCCTAAACTTATCGGCCAAAAAACCTGCAAACCCACATCCAACTACGTGATGGAACAATGTATTTATTAATCTTTGTTTAACTATTAGGAATTGTAAAACTAGGTTTTGTCCAACAGTATTTAAAGCAACTTACACTAACCCATCACTATTTTTAAGGAAGACAACTGGACTTTCTTGGTTTTTTCCTTAAAAAGATTTCGTAAAACATTCGCAAAATGTTTTCAAGGAAAAAACCAAGCAAGTCCAACTGCCATTTGAAAAAGCACCTTTGGGACAACCTTAACCTGGTTGACTGAGACTCTCCATAGACATTTTTAAGGAAAAAATCTGACATAAGAATTTTCAGAGCCTCAAAGTTCTGAAGCTGTGGTCTTCCAATGAGGCCTCTTCCCTACAGAGAAGAACAGAACTGCTGATGAGCCAAGGAAGTCTGAGCCACTGGCACTGATATCCGGAAGGGGGATTGTGGCGAAGGTTTCATCCATGGCCTTTGGCACCAAAGCACGATCGCCAACCAAGCTTACAAGCCTGAGAGAAGTTCCTTCTTAACGACCGAAGGACAGGCAGACAATAGGACAGGCAGACAATAGGTCGTAAGCCGAGGACTGGTGGTCCTCGGCTTACGACCACAATTGAGCCCAACCTTTATGTAGCTGAGTGAGACATTGGTTCAGTGAGTTTTGCTCCATTTTACGACCTTTCTTGCCACAGTTGCTAAGTGAATCACTGTAGTTGTTAAGTTAGTAATGTGATTGTTAAGCGAACCTGCCTTCCCTACTGATTTTACTTTCAGCTTGATCCAAGGGGGAACTGACTTCGCCCTCATATTGGGGGCCCAGGGACAGGAGCCCAGGGGAAAGCCGATACTTACAGCCTCTCCAGCATGGACCGGAGGAGGGGTGAAGTAGGCAAAGGGACCGACACGCGTTCTCTGGGTAGCCCCAAGCAACCAACAAGGGCCTCTGCACCAGATCGCTCCTCTTCTGGGTCGCCAGATTCCACCCAGGAGAGAGCGGCCGCCTTCTGCTCCCCCTTCCGTTCTTTCGCCTCACCACCCGGGGCACGTGGGGAGCAGAGGAACGCCGGGCATCGGCCAGGCCCACCTGCCCGGGTCCAAAGCCGGCGCGGAGCCGCCTCGCAGCCCCATCGGACAGGGGAGCTCGGGCTCTCGGCGAGACCGACCCCGAGGCGGAATTTCCCGACCAGCCGTGTCAGGGACGAAACGCGCGGCGGCAAGCGGTTCGCACTCCGACTGCTGGGGGGCTAAAAGGCGGGACCCCTTTCCGGAGGAAGCGGGAGGCCCGGCGGTGCCCCTCACCCGGCAGAGCGACGCGGGCAGCGCTCCCTCCGCTTCTCCCCTGCGGATCCCGGCCGTGGGCGGCTCGTCCGGCGCCTCACGCCCCCTGGCGCCCCTCGAGACTGGGTCCCGCGCCCGCCAGGGACGACCCGGGCCTGCTCCGCGCGCGCCCCCCGGGCTCGGAAGGGACGGCGCGTCGCCGGCCCTCGAGTGGGCGCCGCGCCGGCCTTAAATCCGCCCGCTCGGGCTCCGGGCGGCGGCCTGCGGAGCGGCGGCGGCGAGCGCGCCGCGGGCCCCTCCGCCTCACCTGCACATGATCCGCCATTTTGCTCCATTCATGTTCTGCTCCGCCGCCGCCGCCGCCGCCGCCACCGCCGCCTCCCCCTCCCGCAGGCGACCTAGGCAGGGTTCCTGCGCGTGCGCGCGTCCGGCGGCCTCCCCACGCATTCGGCGTAAGGGATCCCCGAGCGCCAGAGGCCGCGCTGCGGCGCGTGCGTTTGGAGAATAGCGCGGTTCAGTGTAGCGGCGTAAGAAGGCCGGTCGCGCAGCAGCGACGTCGCCTGACGGGCAGGGGGAGGTGAAGGGGAGGAGCCGAGCTGTGTTTACTTGCTTCTTAAAGGGTCCGCGCGCCGGTTGCGGCCCAGAACGCGCCTGCGCGGCCCGGGTAGAAGCGCGCCGGAGCGGGCTGGCTAGTGGCCGGCGCAGCCTTTGCCCGAGGCGGGGGGAAGGCCGGGGCGCGCGGAGTGGGCGGAAGCGGCGGGGCTCTCGGGGCCGCCCGGAGGGAGCGGAACGCCGGAGCGGGCGCGCCCAGGAGTCGCCCTCTGCGAGTTGCCGAAGGCGGCGCAGGTCGGTGGCGGCGGAAATCAGCGGGCGGGGCGAAGGGAGCGCAAACGCTGCGGCCGCGGGGTTGGGGAGCGTGGCCGGGGCCTCGGCCCTTCGGCGCCCCGTCCGGAGCGGAGCGGCTCTTTCCGCCGAGGGAAGCCGCTTGAACAGAGGGCCGACTCGGCTTCCCTTCCCGCGCCGGCCCCCGGGCTGCCAAGGAAGGCCGCGGCGGCTGTTGGAGGAGAGCCAGCTAAGCCGCCCGCTTGGAGCCGCGGCGCGTCCCCGAAATTACGGCCGGTTGGGTGACCTAGGTCGGCCCCCCGGAGGTTTCCCGATCCTCGCTTTCCTGTCGCCCGGAAGCAGGCGGCGTCCTGGGGCGTTTCGGCCGCTGCCGGTTTTCGCTTTTGTGCGGCACTAGCAGAGCGAAGCGCCTGGGCGGGCGCATGTGTGTGTGTGCGCACGTTGCTGTAAGGTAAGCATTTTTTTTTATTTCTTTTCCAACAGAGAAGTGGTTTTGCATTCTCTTTAAAAGTGATAACGTGCAAAATAATGCATTCTTGCCTGCTTTTTATGTTTTCCACGCCAGTCCCACCCCCCTCCACCAGAGACCCACGGATCCCCCCACACACACCCGCCCGTCCCCCCCCACAGCCATCCCGCAACCAGAGTGATGAGCTGCCCCCCCCCCAGCCATTGACTTAGCTTGTTAAAGAGTTGGGAAAGGTGATCACATGACCCTGGGACACTGACCATCATAAGTATGAATCAGTTGCCAAGCATCTGAATGTAAATCACATGACCGTGGGAATGCTGTAACAGTCATAAGTGTGAAAAATGCTCATAAGCCACTTTTTTCAGTGCCGTTGTAACAGTCACTAAGCAAACTGTTGTAAGTCAAGGACTATCTGTACTTTATCATTTTTTCCCTTTTTTTGAGGTGTTATCAAGTTTTTGACACAATGGGTGAAAAGGTTGAAAAGCTCCGCTGTAGAATACTGTAAAAAATCCTATCTTCCTCAAATAGCTGAATCCAGAAAAAATTAATTTGCTTCCTAATGCTTGAATAGGGATTCCTTCCTTCCTTCCTCCCTCCCTCTTTCCCTCCCTCCCTCCCTCCCTCCCTCCCTTCCTTCGATTTCTCTGTATAAGCAAAAGTGACTGGATCATGAAAATGGCATGTGTTCTCTATTCTGTAAATTCCTGTTTTTCAACTTTGCAAACTATTTTTGTGAATTTTTATCCCTTCCTGTGAACCATGACTTTGCTGATGACTAGAGTGTATGTGGAGTCTGGCTTTCACAGTTCACTCTCCCCAGTTGTCAAGAATCAGATGAATAGAATAACTTTATTGTCACTTTAAATGTACACTAATCAGCATACATTAAAATGAAATTTCGTGGCATTCAACTCTCAAATGGTAGCCACCTCCAATATACACTACATAAGCATGGCAAAAGATTATGCATATACACACATATATGATACAACACAGTCTGTTTCTGATGTATACATATACATGGCGAGAAAAAAGAATCCTACGAATTTACAAGGCGGTTGGCATAAGGAATAAAGCTGTTGCAGAATCTAGTAGTCCTGCTAGAAATACTTCAAAACTTCCCACAGGCAAGCAACAGAAACAGACCGTGAAGTGGGTGTGTGGGGTCTCTAACAATGCTTCTAGCTCTAAACACATAGCGCTTGTAAGCAGTATCCTGAATAATAGGAAGCAAGCTTCCTATAATCTCAGCTATCCTTACCACTCTCTGTATGGACCTTCTACCTGAGAATTTGCTACCACCAAACCAGTGATGCAGTTTGTTAAAATTCAGTCTTGCATAGGGAAAAAAATGAGGCGGGTGGAGACCCAGTTAGCAGTAAAGATGGAGAGTATAAACAAATATTTAATATAGTAAATAAATTAAAATATGTTGCTGCTAGCAGTGCTAGCTTTTGTCCAGGGAAAGAATTTTTTAGCTGGCAGGAAAAACATACTTGCACTATCGTATTGTATTCTCCCCCCCCCCAACACTGAAGATACATTGTTCTGACACGCTCTCTCTTTCTCTCTCCCCCCACTACTTATTTTCAGTGGGGATGTCCTCAAGGGAAAAGCAAAAGCTCCAACTTCAGCTAAGGAAGCAAGCAAGCAAGAATCAAAGGAAAACCATCCATCTTGATTTGAAGAAGATCATCAAAATGCACGAGGAATGGAAGAAGGAGAACATTATAGCACAAGAAGAAGGGCTGGCCCATTCCACCATCTCCACCATCCTGAAGGATCAGAGAGGTGGTTACAAGAGCGCCAGGAATAGATCCTGTTGTAACAAGATACTGAACAGGGCTCATCCACAAAATAGTAAAAAAGCAGTTTGGATTGAAGATCAGATACAAAAGAGGATTGCAGTCCTTCTCCTTCAGGCTAAAGGCTTCCCCCATCTTTACAACACTGAAGGAAAGAGCAGATGAGGGGTGCAGGGATCCTCGACTTACAATCATAATGGAGCTTACCCATCATGGTTGTAAGTTGTGACAGTCATAAGTTGGTCGCCCACGTGACCAACCTGATTTTACAAACTTTTTTGTGGCAGTCATTAAGTTAATGCTGCTGCTGTTAAGGTACCAATGGTTTGCTATGGGCTAGTTTTGCCAAAAACCAGAAGTAAATGTTGGATCTGACAGAACTCATAAATGTGGTCATGTGATTGAGATGCTGCAAATGGTTGTAAATGCAGGCCAGTTACTAAGCGCCCACTTTGGTCACATGACCACGGGCAGGGTTCCAAATGTCTTGGGAGTGGGGGGTCTGTTGGAACTTCAAACTGAATGACCAATCCTAAGTCCAATATTTGGACTTATATTCACTGCCAGCTATGGCTGGTTTAAGTGATTACCAAAGCACACACACATTAGGTGAAGCCACAAGCTCTGAGAAAAAGCTGCTTAACTTTTTCTGGATGAACTTGACAAAACCTTGACAGGAAAGAACTGTTTGCCTGTTTGGAGTATTCTGAAAAAACAAAATACAAGAAAGTCCAGTTGCCTCCTGAAAAAAAGCACCTTTGGGACGACCATGCCTGGATGACTTGAGAATCTCCATAGACATTTAGCTATGCATTTTGGGACAACATCCTTTGAATGGTGAGAGAATATGAACGGATTTCCAGAAAACATTGCAGACGACAGGAACCGTTTGTGCTTCAGTCTGAGATTCAGACAGCACAGACTCATCCCCAACAGCCTGCACCTGTCTTCAGCCGTGACGGAAGGCTCCACACCCATCCACACCCATTTGCACCGCTCAGGTGACCCTGAGGACACAGGTAAACCTCTCTAAAGGAATGCAAATGACCATCTGTCTGCAAGCAATATAAATCCATTCATCTCCCACCATCTAGTCAGAGCTGAAGGAAGTTCTTGGCTGAGAAGCAAAATGTCTTCAAAAGAAACACAAAGTCCAGTTGCCTCCTGCAAAAAGCACCTTTGGGACAACCATACCTGGATGACTTGAGAATCCCCATAGACATTCTGGAAAAACAAAATGTCAGAGCACATCTGCCTGCACAGGGAGCCAAAGTAGCGCCTGGGTATAAAGCATTCAAGGACAGAACAACCTTGTTATTCTGAAGCCATTCCTGGTCCACAAAACAGAGAAGCCCTCTGTGTTCAGAAACTTAAGCAAACTTTGTTTATTACCAATTCATTCAAAAAGCTTGGATGACACAAGTTCTCTCTGAGAATTGGTTTAGGGGTTGGTTCATATCCCAAGTAAAGAAATATTGCTTTGACAACAGAATTCCTATTAAAGCAATCTCCACCTATATCTATAAAGGTAATTTATTTACCCCCAAACACTCTCCCTCCCCGCCCCCTGTCTCTTTCAGCTTAAGATCCAGGAAGCTCTTGCAACATTTGCTGAAGTCACAGTTGCAGTGGAGAATGAAGCACTAATGTTGTGTGACTTTTGGAAAGGCTGCAAGATCCTCATTTTATCAATAATCTTGCAGCAGCATGGCAGAATGTTGCTGCAAAATTCAGGCAAGAAATTTTGAAAAACTGTTTAAAAATGTGCTGCTCTTTGAAGGATTTGACCATGACAAAGAAACCAGGACATCTTGACCTTTATGGAATAATTTGATTTAGAGTTTGATGCTCTCTGCCACCAGATGGCGCCCTTTGCCCACTTGGTCAGAAGAAACTGCTGAGCCAGCAGGACTGAGCTGTTGTGAGGACTGGCATTCTGGAATGGGTGGCCTTTACAGGAGGCCTCCCCCTTCCTGTCTGCACATGGGATGATCCTGCCAGGGGTCAGGATCACAAGAAATGCAAGGTTAGGATCAGGTTGTGACCCAGTCCTTTTCCTAGGTACAAAGCAACTCTGACGCTAGGGCTCTATATGACAGTGCCTAGTTGGTCTCTCTCTGGCCCCTCGGACACAATGCCTGCTAACAGATGCTTGCTCTTGGGTCAACTTCTGATTTCCCTTTGCTTTGATAGTCTACTCGATGCTATGTGGTTATTTCCATTCCTTGATGGTTGCAGGAATCCTCCACCATCCAGAATCACTGCCAGTGCTGCTCAGAAGAGCTATGGGCTTCTCTTGAGACAGACTCGTCAAAAATTGGGCTAAATGTTGAAAACTGTTTAGCCTAATGAAGAGAAGGGTTCAAGAGATAGCAGCCTTCCAGTTCTTGGAGGGAAGAAGATGTTGACTTATTCTCCAAAGCCTCTGAGGCAGGACAAGAAGCAGTGGATGGAAGCTCGTCAGAGGGAGATCCAGTCTGGAACTAGAGCAATTTCCTGAAAGGGAGAACAATCAGCGGAGCAGCCTGCCTCCTGGAATTGTGGGTCCCCACCATTGGAGGTTTTCCAGAAGGTACTGGGCCGCCTTTTGTCTGGAATGGCATAGGCCCTACGCCATGAGGTCTGCTGCATGAGCAGGGGGTTGGACTAGAAGACCCCTTCTAGTCCCTTCCAGCCGTGATTCTATGATTCTAATCCGCCTGATCAATTTGAACCCTCCTAGAGTGGATAGTTGTTATCTTTTCTTTATCTTATTTTCCAGCCTGATCTTCCATTTTATTGGCACGTTTTTGCTTTTTTTTCATATTTGTTAATTTTGCATCCCAAATATTCAGTTGTAATGTAGTTGTGCTGTACATTAATTAGTTCGTTTTTTGCAGTGAGCTAGTGCTTATATTTGATATTATACTATTGGCATCTTTTAATATTTCTGCTAACTTTCTTTGGAACAAGCTTCAATGCAGACAACCTTGTTTTGTGCTGTTCTGGATGCTCTATTGTTTTTTATTTCGATTTTTCTTCTTTTTCAGTTAGAAGGCTTTGTTCTTTCTGAGGAAAAGGCAGAGAGGGATCCCTGGTTTTGAATCAAATTAAAATGATGCAATAGCTTTGCTTGCCTCCTCTACTGGTGACTCCATCTGGTTTGCCTCTACAGTCTGAGCTTTCATTTCGTTGCCCTTGGTAAACCTTAGCAGGTCTTCCAATTCTGCTTCTGTGGATACTTTGTTTTGCATTATAAATTGATGTTAATTTGCTAGCCTTTGTTTTGTTATTTTTGATTCTGGACCTCCAACAGGAAAAAGAGAAGACTCTCATAATGGAGCACAGGTTCCCTTCCATCACAAGCCAGTGATAGTTGCTGTTTTTCCTGTGGCCATGGGATATTTTTAACCCTGGACACATCTGGAGAGGGTGGGCTAGAAGGAGTTTTAACTGCAAATTCTAACTTTGGCATTGGGCTCCAATAGTACTGGATTAGCCCAGCTTTGTTTTTGTCTGAGGGATCAAGGGTGGGCTGTGTTCAGTACCAGTCTTGAAAGGAGGGTCTGGGGGGGGTCTTTTGATGGCATTCAATCATTGTTTAGCTCAACAGAAGCTTAAGAGCGCCTCTGGGGGCCTAGCATTGTTAGTGTTGCTGTGGGGTCTTCATTTTTGAGTTTCATGAATCATTTGGAACCAGGCCCCTCATTAGAATACAACACTGGCTAATTGGAAACAAATGCATTCCAAGTAATGGAAGACAGATCATCCCCCTCTGAAGTTAGCGCCCAAAGTCCAGAGTGAGGCCAGTCTTGATGGGCACTGAGCCAAGGGATGCTCTGCCTTGGGCTATTCAGCCACAGACCTGGGGCTGCTGATGCCCCCAGAGATTTTAGAGCCTTGTGATTTTAATGCTGTGTGATTATTAAATACATACAAATGATCTTGTTTATCACGTTGCTTTAATCAACATTGAAGGTATTAACAGCCCCTTTTCTCCTGGCCCTTTGACTTTGACTCTCGCCCCTCTTGTACTTATTCCTCACAGCACCTTTTCTTGTTTCAAGAAGGGGGGGGTAGTTTCAAATTGGCATTAACTCAATGGTTTCCCATTAAGATGTGTTAACCTGTTATAGTTTGTTATATTGACCTTTCTATAGGTGCAGCTTTTCCTAAAATGAATAACTTGAGAGATGGAGATACTTTCCTTCTATTTAACTTACGAGCTGCTTAACTCATGTTTTGCATCGGTCTTCATGTAAAAAGAAACTATAGCCCAACCTACCAAATTAAAAGACAGACTAGAAATAAAAATTAAAATAAGCAAGAAAAGGATGACAACATCTATTTGATCTTGATGCATATAAATCACTAGGACCTGACAGATTTCATCTCAGAGTTCTGAAGGAGCTGGCAGATGTTAAATGTATTTGTTAATTGTTATTCTCACCAGCAACTCAACACTGCTTATTTTGTATTTGGGTTCTTATTGTACGTATTTCTATTTTTCCCAGTTTCGCCCATCCTGTTCTTTTAATCAAGCATCCACATCTACACACACGGTCTGTTTTATTGGAGGATAGGTGCATGTCAAGCTGCACACAGAGTAACATGTAGTGAGGACAGAACAGTCCAGTCTTTATTCAGAAACCTCCTTCTCTGCCTCAGAAAGATCAAAACTAAAGAAGTAGAAGAATTGAAACAAAGATTTACAGAGCATCTAGAATAGCACAAAACTAACAGAATAAAGAAGGCGGCATTGAAGCTTGTTCCAAAGAAACAGCAACTATTAAAAGATGTCAATATTGTAATATTAGATATAAGCATCAGCTCACTGCAAGAAACCAACCAACCAATGAACAGCACAGCTGGGATGCAAAATCAACAAAGGAAAAAAAAAAAGCCAAACTGCCCCACCAAAATGGAAGATCAGGCTGGAAAATAAGATCTGCAAGCTGAGAACAGATGCAAGCAAACTAAAACAGATGAAAGAAAAGAAGCTGTAGGAGAAGAGCAGGCAGAGCTGGGGATGGAGTTAATTGCTGAATTTCTTTCTCTATACACATTTTGAAATTCCATGCAACCTATAAAGTTTTGCTTTATAAAATGCAAAGTATAATTTTGCAATTCCAACATCACAAAATTATTTTGTGAGATGCAATAAGTAAACCATCATTACAACCATGTTTCTGTAATGTGCTAAAATTGATATATTCTGGGGAAAAGTCTTTAAATTGCTGACTGTAAACATGTACATATATAGGAAATTCTTCACCAGAATACAAGCTGTCTTCAGAAACTCTAGGAACTCTGGTAAAAAGCTAAAGCTAAACAATTCCACCTTCGTTATACTAGGTATAAATTGATCTGGAAAATTGCTTTAGCAAGCTTTCAAGATTTAGTTACATTAAAACAATACAGTAGTTCTTTCTGAGTTTGCTATAAGGCTTGACAGAGGACAGGACCTCTTAATTCTGATTCTGTGTCTGCCTTATTTCAGAAGGAAAATTGGGCTGTAACCGTTAATGAAAGAAGGAGGGAACCGCATCTGAGGAGAGACTAAATGAACTGCTTCAATTTAATACAAGTCTCCAAGGCCATATGGATTATATCCTAGGATGTGAAAGGATCTTCTGGAGAGTCTACAGAAGGACCCTTACAGACCATCTAATTTAATCCCGATAGGTGACATCCGGCCTCCCTTTGAAAGCTTTTAAGAAGAAATCAGAGTTTTGAAGTAATTAAGCATCTTTAAATCTTAACTCTCTTCTGAAAATGTGATTTACCATATTAAAAATATTCAAAAAATATGGAACAGATAGATGCCATGATGAAATAGTGTTTAACTTAACCTAAACTAAAAAGGTTCTTTTCTTAAAATGGAAATTAGGAACTTGAGTTTTCCTTGGGAGACAATGCTGGGGTCATTGGTAGCTCATTGACCAGTTGGCAGGGATGGCCTCTGAAGGGCTTCTGCAGGGGCAAAGTGGGGCACCGAAGGAACCCGCCCAACTGGGGGCTGAACCCCATCCTCCCTCGCCCTTCCTCAGTCTCACCTCAGGAGCAGCACTGGGATCTCTTCCCTGCAAGTCACACTCCTTGGCTGCAGTGAGCAAAAGGGAACTGGGCCCCGGAGCCCTGATTAGAGTCCAGCGTGGGAAAATCAAAAAGGAGAAGAGCTCTCGCATTGAAAATTAAGGTTAGCTGAAGCAAAGGGAACAGGTGGCCTTGATTCTGACATACAGTGATGGGGTTGCTGTTTTTCATACAGAAATGCAAGTTTACATGCTAAATTACTCTGAGTCAGAGTTGACTGAGATACTGTCACAATGGGACATTTGCACAACAAACCAAATGTTTGATTTAATGTGTTATCTTAAGCTTCTCAGTCCATAAAGGCCTTTGCCGTCACAATCTTGGTAGGAAACCAAAATCCAGGAGACCAAGATGGAGAAGAAGCCGCCCCACTGCTCATGAACCTGGTGCAATTCAAAAGAAGTCAGAAAATATTTCAGAAATCCTAAAAAACATGAAGAATATTTCAACCTTGCTGAATGGTTGAGGCTTCTCATTTTGCAGTCCACGAATATATACTAAATCTGCTTGCTTATGGTGTGGAATTATGTGGCACCGAAGCTGCTTGCATTGCTGCAATGGCACTTGGCTCTACCCAGAGGGTGGCTGAATAGGGCTGTTTTGCATTGAGCTCATATTTCTCAAGAACCCCAGTCCTGGGAAGGACGGGCAATTCACCTCCCTCCCTGCCTCTTTCTGTCATTTACAAGAACCAGAGCAACTGATGAGTGCCCAGAGTTCTCCCGTGGTAACATGGGTGGCCAATAGATTTAATAAATAAATAAATAAACCTGTGTCTTTGTCGGGCTCCAAAGTAATGTATCCTCAGTTATTTTAGCTTTATAGCTTTCTTTGTGGCCTGCCATTCTGTTGGGAGGGGGGAGGCTTTGCACTGTCTGCTTTGTTGCCTTGTTGTCCTCCCCCCCCCCCCATGGAAGGTCCCACCCTTATCTGAGAGGCGGTTTGCACTTGGAGCCGGAAGAAATCGAAAGCGAGAGAGACCTTGAGCCTGCCAACACTGATGCCACCTGTGGATTGGCTCGGATTCAAATGGACACTGGGACATGGGGGGAGAGGAGTATTGAATGCTACTTTTAATATATCACTTTGTGGGTTTTTCTCTCAGATCTCGCCTTGATTCCCTGCTGTCACTGGCCCCTAATAAAAGTTTCCTTTTGAAACAATGCTTGTTTCAAGAGTTCTGCTTTCTTGGGTGGCTTAGCTGAGGTAGGTCCTTATATTCTGTTTCTGCCAATCGGTGAGATAGGCCTGAACGGGATCATTTCCGTCAGAGTCCCTGGAGACCTTTCCTGCCGAATCAGGGCTTGTTTCTCACAGCTTTTCCAACCAGATATCCCTGGGAGGGCGTCCTGCTTGTCATAATAAGTGGAGTTCTCCAGCAACCAGCACAAAGAAGCAGGTAATATGCAAACACCACGAATGTCTCTTCCTTAATTGCTCATTCTTCTGGCTTGAATTTTCCACCATTCATCTTTGTGTTCGGACGTGCCTTGACTCAATCCTCCCAGTGTATCTCCCTGAGGAGCCCAGGATGGGGACAGTGGAGGACGGTGTCAACTTTAGAAGGAGCGTGGCTACAGCCATTTTTTCCTTCTCAGTTCCAACTGACACACAGCATGGAGGGAGGGGAGTTGCCAAGTGTTGCGCTAGACAAAACAGGCTTTCTCTCTTCAACTTTTCTCTCATGGGAATCAAGGTCATTTGCTGCTCCCGAAACTGTAGGCTGGGCGCTTCGTGAAAAGCCCACCAACAAGCTGCGTGGGGAACCGTAGTTGCTTGCATAGCTTTTAGGGTTGGGATTTCTTAACTTTGTATTGGGGAATTGTTATGCATCTCTTCAGACTTTTGAAGTGTGGATACTTTGTATCAATAAACATGTTCTTTGAGGAATTTGCAAGCCTCTGAGTTCTGCTTTATTTATCTCTTGTCTCTTGGATCCTTGACAGACGGATCAAAGACGAGAGCAAAAGCTGTGTGACAGATTGTGGACCTGCCATTGAGAAGAGGGAGGAGAGCAAAAGCTTATTCAGCCAAGAGAAAGGAATAGCCCTGCCTTAACTTTGGCTGATTGATGCCAGATGCATGGGAGAGACTTTCAAGATTCCTGAAATCCCTGCGGCAGCCAAACTTAGAGCCCTTGCAATGTGTGAGTCCTGCAGGCCAAGCTTCCCCCTTTGTGTGCCTGCAAAGAAAGTCCCAGGCTTCATGTCCATCATTATGTTTCTATAGCAACAGGGATAACCCGTGCAAACCAACTCCCAGGTTCTCTGACGGGCTAGGGTGGAGAGGTGCTGGCCCTGCCTCTGGGTCCCAGGAATGCCCGCTGAGGAGAGGGCAAGAGGGGACGGTTGGAGGCATTTGGCACTCTCTGTAAATAAGATCTGCTCAAGAGGTTTGTCAGGCCTGGAAAAATGAGGAGCAGAGATGGGCAGATCAGGGGGGCCAAAATCCAGAAGATGACTAGAAGGCAACCTCTCTTTGCTGCCATTAGGAACCACCCAGATTTTTTCAGCCCAGATCCAACAACCCAAAGGAAGGCCTGCATCCCTTGTGACTAGGCTGCTACATGGAGAAAGGGGCGTGGTTTCTCCTGCCTTTTGAGTTCATTAAGCAAATCAAAGCCTGGTTGAGGGTGATCCACACTCTGACACTAAATCAGTAATGACAGCAGTCACCTAACGCTTTTAAATTACTCGACACAATTTAAACAATTAAAATAAAAACAATCCCAACCAACCAAAAGATACTATGTAAAAATAGCCACAGGCCCAACTGAAGATAACCATCCAGGGCAGCCTTTCTCAGCCATTTGACCCTCGAGGACCCCTTGAAATATTTTTCAGGCTTCAGAAAAACCCTGCAAATATAGGTCAGAAGTTACAAAATTATTACATTTATTCCATGTAAGGGTCTGCATATATCTAGCAGTGCTCTGAAAGTAAAAATAAGACAGGAAAATTACCTCTTTAATGGGAAACCAGTGCTTATCTTTCACTGCACGAGTACTCAATCCTGAGATGAATTTGAGAGAAGACACATGGATTTCATCTTCAACGGAATCGCTGTGATTTCTGTCTTTGCTTCTGATGCTTGTGAAGTAAGAAAAATCTTGCTCACACATGTAAGAAGCTGGAGACTGCAGTGCCTTCCTCGCATACATGTGCTCTCTCTCCCTCTCACGCTCTCACCTGCTGCTCCACTCACAGCCCTGTGTGCAGCCCCCGGCCTGGAGTCCACATGTGCTCCGGGTGGGCCAACTCAGTCTGCTTTTTCAGAATGACTCATCTTCTTGGGAGCCCCGAGAGACTTCCCATGAAACCCTACAGGCCTGTGGAACCCTGGCTGAGAAACCCTGATCTAGAGTTTTCTCCCATCACGGTTACAATATTTTGGGTGCAGAAATCTACATAACCCTGAGACAGGCGGCAGAGGATTCCTCTCCAAAACACAGGTCATCCTTGATTATAACCATAATGGAGACCTGAGTTACGATTGTAGATCTTGCCAGTTGTTAAGTAGATCATCACAGGGCAGGTCTGGTTTTATGAATTTTTTTTGTGGTGGTGTCAGATGCCTGGTAGGCATCCTGCCATCAAAGACTAGGAGGGGAGGAGGGGAGAATAGATGTGTGTACATGATGGGATGTAGGGAGGGGGGAATGACAGGCAATAAAGACCAGAGGCTCGGAACCAGTTTGCACCAGCATCCAAGGCCAGGCACCCCGAGGAAGAACGTGAATTGCCCCAAAACACCTCAGGGGGTTCCAATTGGCTGAAGACAGACTGGTCGTGGGGGGGGGGCTGGGATGAGGGGAAACGTTTCTGTATCTTTTGAGTGTGGGAAACCCAGAACTAGCCTGACTTTACTGCAGCCAACTTCTTTCAGTAAAAGAACCTTTTGCTTCAATCCAATAGAGCCAAGGGTCTTTCTTTCCTAAGGGATCAGATTGGGGCAGGTCTGACAGACGGTTGTTGAGTGAATCACCACGGTTGCTAAGAGAACCCATGGTCTACAATGGGCATTTTTTTGCCAGCAACCAGAAGTAAGTGTTCCAGCAAAAAACATTGTAAATTGCAGTCATGTGACCATGGGAAGCTGGAAACGGCCGTAAATCACGTGACTTGGGGCAGAGAACGGGCATTGGAACGTTGCATTCATACCAAGTGTAGTTGCCAGGATTTTTGCATCCATCAGTCTGGGTTGTTATTAATTGGTGGCCCTTACCATTTTCCACGAGTGCCTCCCACGCCATAGAACCAGCAGCATGGCTGAAGGGATCCGTTCTCCCACGAGCCCATGTTCCACTTACATTCGCGGAGGAAATGGAAGTTCTTCCTGGGAAGGAAGAATTCCATAGACTTGGCATGATGCAATTTCCCTTCCCAATTTTGCCTGTTCTGCATCCACTTCTGGTGAGTGGAGGGGAGACGCGCCGTCTGGCTGTCAAACAGCTCCACAGAGACACCCGCTGCCCTCAGCAAAGGAAGGTAATCGGATTAGAGATTTGAGCTGCCTTGATTGGGTTATACCGAGTAATGTATTTGGGGCTTGGCTAATCAAGACAGAGATCCAGCCCGGCTGCTTCTTGTGGAGGGTAGCAACCCCAGGAAAGGGTAGGTGAACAAGGGGGAGCACAGCTCCGGGGGACAATTTGCAGCCTGCAGAATGGGGGGAAAGGAAAACAATGTGCATTGCTCTTATATTTATATATTACCTGCATTGGCAGGTCACGTGAATCTTGGTTGCAAGACTTTGATTTGGACTGGCTGACAAACCTGACCCGGCTCTCTGAACGTCAGCCAGCTTTTAGAACTTAAGAAGCGGCTCGGATGAGAAGCTAAACGTTTTCAAGGAAAAAAGTAAGACAGTCCAGTTGCCTTTTGAAAAAGCACCTTTGGGATAACCATGACCGGGATGATTGGGAATCTCCACAGACATTTCTCTTCCGGAGCTTCCTCTTTGATTTACATTCCTTGTTTGCCCTTATCTGTTCAGCCAGGACACGGAGAAGGAAGCTGCGTCCACATCAGGGCTGGATGCCAGCTCTTGCACACTTGCTCTTTGCACGAATGTGCTCACAACCGCTCTGCTGGCCCAAGGTGGCCCTGCCCTGGGCAGAAGGGGGGCGGGTTGTGAAAATCCCCTGTGGCCAAAGGGGGCGGAGAGGCTTCTCGCAAGCGCTGCTCCTGGGGGGCCCAGGGCCTCCCCTCCCTTCGGGACCCCTTCCCGCCCGAGCGGTGCCCTCCGCCCCCTTGCTGTCATGTCAGATTAGGCTTCCTTCCTTTCCCACGCCGGCCCAGGCGCCGCGTTCGCAGCTGCGACGCACACGAGCCTCAGGGAGCGGCGCCGCGCCATTCGCCCCGGAGCCTCGGGGGTGCCGAATGCAGCCCCCCAGGCGGGGCCGGCGCTCGCTCGGGGGGCTCACGGGAGGGGGCTGCCTCTCCGGTTGGACCCCGACACGTTTCCCTGGCCTGGGGGGGGGAGGGGAGCCGCTTTTGGATCCACAGGTGCTGCAGCCTTATTCCCAGCTGCCCCCCACGGAAGAAAGGGAGAGGGGAGCTGGACCTTCCTCCCCCCTTGGGACCCTCGGCGCCGAGAGGCTGCGTCGCTTGAGCTCGAGAGAAAAAGGGCAAGAAAAGCGGGGAAGAAAAAGCCCCCCCCCGCGCGCTCTTCGGCCGCCCTTCTTAGCCGCCGCCTTGGCTTCGGGCTGGCGCGTCGCGGCCTCCTTCGGCTTCGCCCGGCGCCCCAAGACGGGCCCGACTGCTCGCGAGGGGGCGGTTTCCGACGGAAGGGCCGCTTGTTGCAAACCCCCCTTGGCGAGTTTTAAGGCTGCCTTCGAAGACCTTTCAAGGCTCCTCCCGCCAGCGACCCGGTTCTCAGCGTGCATCGGTCCTGGCAGGCGCGGGGGGAGGACACGGCGGGCGGGGGGGGGACATTGAGGCTGCTCTGTTCAACCCGATGCTTCAGGCGGGAATCCAACCGGAGGCCCGCGGGCGCCTCCATCCGAAGCCGCGGCGGGAGGTTTCTGCCTGCCTCCCCCGAGGACGGCGGCTGCGCTCGCGGCTGCTTTGGGGCCGCTGCCCGGCCTGCCCGAAAGAAGCCTCTTCCCGCCCCCTGCTCGGCCGGGGCTGGAGGGAAATGAATTGCCAATCGGGGGACCCGGGAGCAGCCCGGCGCGCTAGCGGGACTTCCCGCGGCCCCTCTGCCAGACGGGCGGGGGCCCGCCAGCCTCGCCCTCCGGCGCCCGACTCGCCCAGGAGGCTTCCCCGTACGCGGTGCCGCGGCCGCCGCTGGCCGCCTTCTGCCTGCCCATCTCCGGGGGCCGCGGGGAAACCTCTCCTACACACAATGATGAAAAAATGAGTGATATGCAGTGGCAGAACCTGGCTCTCTGTCCCAGATTAAATTGGCCATTTGTGCTTCCTAAAGGAGTGTTCAAACCAGGTCCGCAGGTAGTCCTTGACTTACAATCCTAACTGAGCCTGGAATTATGGTCATAAGATATCATTAAGTGGGTCACCATGTAATTGGACCCAATTTTATGATATGTTTTGCAGCAGTCGTCACGCAGTGGGCATTTTTGCCGGAAACTGGAAGTAAATGCTGGAAACTGGCAAAAATAATCAAAACCCACATTCACACGACTGTGGGATGCCGCAAACAGCCGCAAGGGTGAGCCGAGCACCCCGGATTGATGCTTCAGACGCTCACCTGCCCCCCCCCCCATTCCTGCTAGGATCTCTGCACCTCACCGAAATGTATGACTAGTCAGCAAGCAGCAAGATGCCAGACTGATCAGTCACACTTAAGGAAAGTTTGGCAACAGCTGTGCATATTTAGCAGTTAGGGAATTTAAACCTCACAGTGATGGTTTCCCTCCCTAGACACAACTTGAGCGCCTGATTTCATCTCTGTGGCTTTTGCCTGGAGTCCAGTTATTTATTCACCCCGGTTTGTTAATTGGCTAAAACTTGATTTCTCCCTTGATTTGGCATGCAATCTTTGGCTTGACCTTGGACTGCTGGACTAGGAATTTGTCCATCTAAATTCTTATCTGCAAGCAATACCCATTTCACCCTTTGCATTTCTCCGGCACCATAACTCAGTGATGCCTTGTCCTGGGCCAGAAAAGGTCCGGAATGTTCATTATTAGGTGGCTTTACTTCCCAGGCTTGACTTTGTGATTTAAAGCCATGGTTCTTAATTAAATCATTGACCTTCTTTCTTTCTACAGGTGCGGCTTTTCCTAAAACGAATAACTTGAGAGATGGAGATACTGTCCCCGCCAGTACCACCTACCTCCCTTTGTTCCCGGCAAGTGATGGTGGCTCAGCACAGCTGTGGTGTGAAATCAGAGCATCCACTTCACACACGGCCACCAAGAGTTTCATTGCAGAAACCCTTTTCATTACTGTACAGAGAAGGCGTCATCCTGTCCTGCTCACTGCCTGTTTTTGCACCAGATCTCGCTTCTCTCAGGGAAACGTGACCAGGGAGGACTCAGCCCACTTGACACTGCCGGTATGTGCACTGTCCAGTTCTGGTCATCTCTTCTAAGAAGGAACTGGAGACACAGTTTAGGGAAAGGCCAACGAGGCCCATCAGAGGCCCTAAATTGTAATTCTTTGATTCCAAAATAATATAGTTTAAACTTAAGTTACCTTGGGATTTGGGTTGGAAAGGTGGGATATGAACCCCAGGAAGCCCAGGTAGAGGACCCTAAGTTCAGGATCTTTTCCAAGCTGAGTCAGCAGCTTTGAAAAATGGCTTATTCAAAGCTCATGCCTGAACGTTTGCGGGTGGCTGAGATACTTGTTCAGGTGTGCCCTCTTGTAGAATTCACCTGAGCCCTGAAGGCACTGCTGTTGAGTGGCTTTCCTATTGCTTTGATGCCATTCTATGCATTACGGCAGCTACCCTTCCCTTTCCGGTAGAGAGGGCTCTCTTGCACTGGATGCCTGAAGCGACCCCTATCTTGCCTGCCCTTTGGGGGTACTCCGGTCTCGTAGGCAGCAGCCAAGCCTTGCGAAGCCAGAGGCGTCACAGGCCAAGGGCTAGCAAGGAGGCCAGAGGGGTCCTGGGGGCCGGCTCTGGGCTCCTCTTGGGGTATGGCAGGGCTGGGACTGGCTTTTGCTGAACACAAATGCTCAGCTAAGAGGTCCTGAATTTCACTGCCTGTTAGCCTGGATGCTTTTTTTCCCAGCTGCTACTGAATATTTGATGAAGTCTAAAATAACTATAAACTGCATTAAAGCTGGACTGATGGAGCCCTAGAGAGCATTTCAGCTCTCAAGATATTGCACAGCCATGCTACTTGTTCAGTTATGGGAATGCCATTAATGATACCAGTCTGACCTTAATGGGGCAGAGAGAGAAATCCAAGAGCAGCTGAAAATGCCCACTCCAGGAGGCCGGCTCAAGAAGGTGGGGGGTGATGCAGCCCTCTCTCTTTGCCCAGCAGGTGGGCAGCTGGGCTCTTCCCTTGACAAAAGGACAGGTGTGCGATTGGATTAGTCCAAATTCAACCAGTGAGCCTCTGGGGTTGGATGTGGATTTAAGCCTAGTCCACACCTGCCTGGCTGGTCCTGGTGCTGGGGGGTCAGTTGCCACCTAAGCCGTTTTTTCTCTGGTCCTGGTTGGTTGTGGGGATGGTGAGAGGCTGGTGTTGACTGGTAGATGCTGAGGATCTTTGGCCTCTGCTTTGAAGTCCTTAACCAAAAAGAGACAGAACAGGGCTCCAGCCTTCTGGATGACCAGTAGCCATCAAAACAGCCATCAACAGCTATGGCTGTTGGTTCAAGGTGGCTTACATAATCTATGCAGCCTTCTCCTCAGTTAAGACATGCTGCTTCATGCAGGTATCCCTAAAATGTGATGCATGCTTGTCTGCCCACGTCATCACCTACCCTCAGGGAACAACAGCTAGAGCTGAATTGGAGCTGGCTGAAGTCAGCAGGCTGCCCCCTTCCAGGGCCATTCCGACTTTCTTCTCGGAGCCTGATCTCCTTGGGAAGGCACAGGAGCCCAATCCTCCCTTGGTTTCTCTGTAGAAGGGTGTGGGGTGTGTGTGTACGTTTGCTGAGACTCTTCGGCAACCACACATCTGTTGCAGCCGTTGCTGTCTGGGGTTTCTGGAAATGGCCTTCAGCCCTTTGAATCCTCTGGCAGACTTAGGGGGCTGCAGCATCTCCTAAAATGAGGCCTCCACCCAAATCCTGTATTGCCAGAGTCTGTCCTGTTCAGGAAATCATACTGACAAATATCCTCCTGAAACAGTCTGAGCAGCAGACTAGAGGTTGCAAGAGCCATTCAACTTATGGACTTTCGGTACCTTTGCATCTCCTTTTTTGAAAAGTCTTGTGATGAACTTGAAATCTAGCACTTTTTTTGTACCATTTTGGTTATTGCTTACCTTCAGCAAAGCTTTCAACAATCTCCTGTGAGATTCTAGTAGGGGCGGAAGATGGCAAAATGTGCTAGATAAATTTGAAGATAACACACAAAGATAAGAGAAATAGCAAAAAGCATCACAATTTAGGAGGATCTTGTTAAGTTGGAAAAATGCACAAGATCCAAGAAGACAACATTTGATACAAACAAATGCAAAGTTGTACAACAAAGGAATGAGTACAAGATGAGAGAGACGATACTAATCAACAATGTGAAATAATCCGAATGTCTTGATAGATCACAAGGTGCCCATGAGCCAAGAGTGTGATGCAGCTGCAATAAAGAAAAAGATGCTATATTGGGCTATTTCAGCAGGAATCTTGTGTCATGATCGAGAGATGTTACTATTCCTCTCTATTCTGTATTGGGTCAATTGCATATAGAGTGTGGCCAAAGGAAAGCAATCAAGATAAAAAAAAGCCTGGAAGGAAAAACCTAGGAGGGATGGACAGAGACATACATATATATTTTTTTAGTCTGGGGAATAAAATGCAGCAGAGGGAGATGATAATATACCACATTTACAGGTATCTGAAGGGTCACCATGAAGGGGGTAGAGCAGAGCTGATTTAGAAAACAGAACAAGTAGTAATATAAGGAATTTAATGTGTAATAGTAAGAGATTTCCTTAAGAGGTGGTGGATTTTCCCACACCAGAGTTCGTTCAACCAAGCCTGGATGGGCATTTGTCAGGATCCCTTCCAACCCATACGTATTATGGTTCCACCAGTCTATTGCCTATGGATTTCCATTTTTATCTAGCTTTTTAATACTTTGATGAGATCATTAGCAGGCTTTTAAAATGATGCTTGGTCATTCAGACTTCCAAAAGCCATTAAGTAAAGCTGATAAAACCTGACTGATACAGCAAAGTGGGTTTGTCACTCACCCCCATGTTTCTATGCTGATTGAATTTAATAGTATCTAGATAGCAAATCAGAATTAGCCAGAAAAATGTTCCTGACTTCCAGGATGTATTTACTGTGTTAGGAGTTTGGTAGCAACCTCAGCCAGTCTCTGATGGCTGACCATCAGAACTTCCCAAATTTCACAAGGTGCAGATCAGGGAGCACGTCTTCCAGGCTGGAAGGACAGAAGAGACAGAAAGAGCCTGCCAGCAGAATCCTGATCCAGACGTTTCAACAATTGCCAGTTCAAGCCCACATGTGGTTTATCTCTCTGCCCAGTCAAGAAGTGGAAAGGTGCGATGGCCAGATTTCCTGGAAGGACTGGGATTTCTCGCTGCTCCTTACTTTCTGCAGCAGCCTTGCACTGGATCACCAGGTCTGACAGCAGTCAATAGCCTTGATGCTGTCTGGGTCAACAGGTTTTACTTTCTCTTCATAACCTGGATTGTAGCTCAACAATGGGTTTAATCATGGTAGGTCTGCATCTGCACCTCAGCGTCTGGAAGAGCATCTGAGCATCCCTCTCGCCTACATGTGATTGAATTTCCACCCTGCTGCTCTCAGTTTTCTTTGTGTAAAGGAAGCCAATTACCAGCAGCTGGTGAGAATGAAAATGATTATTAATTTCACACATAACATAATGCTTTGTGCTAATGATCCTCCACAGTGTGGTGTGGCATCAAGAGCAATCCAATCCAGATGCAGGAGGAATGAGTAATGTGCGCCACTCCAGCACACTCAGGTTGTTTCTTCCCCAGTCACAGCTTCATTCCAGGCCTGACCACAGCCTTTGCACTTCTGGCATGCAGCAGCAGCAAACAGAAACCATCTTTCAACCCTGATAGAAAGCAGACCCTCTGTGCATGTACGCTCCCATCTTTGGACTCTCAGGAATCAGTACCATTTCTGGTCCAGCTCTGCCATCCTCTGCTCACAACCACACCTGGAGGGAACCAAGCTTGACTTTACTATATTGGCGGCACAAGACTGAAACTAATGCAAGGTTTAGTTTAGTTCATCTTAACCAGTGATTACCTCATCTTGTTCCATACTTGCAGTTTTGCTGTTCCTTGATTACTACTAGGACCCCAAATTTGTGCAAAACAAGCATATTAAAAAAACAGGACTAAATAAGTCCCGGGGAATCAGCCCATTTCAGAGACATGTGAAAATGCTCTAATGCTGAGAAAGATGGAAAGCAAGAGAAGTGGATGGCCAGCAGGAAGGCAGATGGACTTACAAAGAGGATGGGGACATCACTGGAAGAACTGAAGGACCAGGTTAGGGATAGACTGTCATGGAGAAAATGGATGAGGTTACTAAGAGTTGACGATGACTCCATGGCACATAATCAATTAGGCTGGAATTCTCAGGAATAGCTTGTTCTGATGAGGAAAGCTTTTGCTATGGCCATTTCTATTCCTGGTTATCCGCTGTGAAGAGTTGCTCTCTCCTTGAACATCACAGCATGTCTGTACAGGGTGACTAGGAGGGAAGAAGCAGAATGGCTCAACAGCAGGTGCAGAACCTCTTTCAGTTGTCAGAAATGAGATGGGTTTGGCTTTCATTCCACTCTCCATGGTCAACTGCACAACTCCCTGGTGTCAACTCTTCAGATGCTGTGGAAGAAGGGCTCATATTTCCCTGGGCATTAATTTCACCCTTTATCTAAGGGAAGGGGAGGGGAAGGGAGGGGAGGACTGGGTGACTGCCTGGGCTTGGTCGCCCCAGATTCTGTGGAAATGCTTTCCAACAGCAGCCGCTGCTTCTGAATTAACTAGAGATCAGGATGACAAAGGGGAGAATTTATATGAGAATAAAATCATATTAAGTATTTTGGCTATTAAATTGCTGTCACCTGTGATGTATGCTAAAATATTACCAAAATATTGTGTCCCCACTGGGATACAGAAGAAGAATAAGTGACAGCCTTGGATTCTGACCATGGCAGGGTTAGGTAGGAGGTGCTTTCTATGAGAGAGAGATAAACTCTACTTGATCTGCAGGACTCAAGTCCTCTAGCTGAGATCAGGAGGTTTACAGCCCAAGAGAAGCAGGGTGCAGGTGGAAGGAGTGCAGACAAAGACAGACCGATCAGTTTGCACTTGATGCAGGTATAATTTGAGTCCTCCACGGGCAGGAGTGCAAACATAGCACACACCTTGTGGGTCACCCGGGTGCTAGCCTCTTTCTCCACAGCATTGTTGCTGTTCAGGATTTGTGAGATGCAAATAGATATTCTCTTGTAGAGTTCCTGCTTTAGAGTTTTAGTTGAAGGAGAATTGCATCCCATCACTCTACCCAGAATAGCTGACGGAAGAAGGGGTAAGCAGAGAGATGGTCAGAGTTTTAAGTGGAGGAAGGAGGCATTGTCAGAGGACAAAAGACCTCGTTCATGCATGACTTGGTGGTGGACAAGCAAACAGAGTCACTGGATATTTCTGAGACATCGGTGGACAAGGATATGCCAATCTCTCTAGAAATATGCCCACCCAGGTTTTGAGTCCATTGGTAGTCTCAACACCAAGGCCAAGAGAGAAGCAGGTGGCAGGTTGTGTATTGCACAGATCAGGTTATTCCCACAGCCATTTCCTCAAAGAGTGTCTGCCAATCCTGTGCCATCAGTCTGGAAAGGGATGCTTTGATACAGAAGAGGAATGAAACTCTGTGTTGATAAGAAGCCTTTTCTGAGATGCCATCATCCCTTTAGGGTTCTTGATCTGCATTGTGTGCTGGTCTCAGAACTGCTTCGTGGTGCTGCTGAGGGAAATTTGTAGCAACATGAATCCAAGAACAAATTCCAGCAGACAGAGTGATATTCTAATTAATTAGACTCATAAAGAGTAATTTTATCAGTCATGGCATCAGAAGCAATAGGGAGACACTACTTTATCCCAGCTAATGGGAGCCTCATGTCTTCAATTAACGTTTGGATTCCATATAAAACTGACATTTAGTAGAACAACAAATGAAATTTCCTTCAACTGCTTTTCCTCAAATGTCAGAAAACATGTTTTTCTTACTGGCCCTTTCAAAGCAGCCACTGCTGCAAACTGCCACGTTGCTGTTTTGCTCTGAAAAGAGAGTCCCTGTGGGGTGTTGCAGACCCATCTAGCCTAAGACTCCCTTGTCTAGAGAGCCACCTTTTCTGTGATTTTTCATCTCCATTACTACAGGATTGGGGCCTATCTGGGCCTGATCCCCAGATTTGCCTGGATCAGGTCAGAGATGAAAAAACGAATAACAAAACTGAGCACGACACATAGAATAGAATAGAGCTGGAAGGGACCTTGGAGGTCTTCTAGTCCAGCCTCCTTCTCAAGCAGGAGAACCTATACTATTCCAGGCAAGTAACTGTCCAGTCTCCTCTTAAAGACCTCCAGTGATGGAGTGCCCATGATCTCTGAAGGCAAGCCGTTCCACTACTGAATTGTCCTCACTGTCAGGAAGTTTGAACAATTAACCAGTGGAACCTGACATACTGATCTTTAACACCCACAATAAACTAAGAATGGTGCTAACAAGGAACCCTTGGCACTAGAAACTGCTGGGGGGAAAAAGAAGTCAAAATGCATGTATATCCTGAAGAAGGAGATGCAGAAAGAAAGAGGACAGCCAAAGTCTGGCTACACAAAACATTCAGTGAAATTCAGAAAAACAACATGCAGGAAATGAATAGAAACCAGATCATTAAAAAAATTGGGCAGCAAAACTTTTTCAAATGTCAAAAGTTGGATGGGACGTTAGAGGTTTTCTAGTACAACTCCCTGCTCAAGCGATACTATTTCAGACAAGTGGCTGTCCAGTCTCTTTTTAAAAGTCTTCATTGATGGAGCATCCACAACTTCTGAAGGCAAACTGTTCCACTGGCTAATTGTTCTCACTGTCAAGAAATTTCTCCTTAGTTCTAGGTTGCTCCTCTCTTTGATTAGTTTTCATCCATTGCTTCTTATTCTGCCTTCTGGTGCTTAGAAGAATAAATTGAACCCCCTCTTTTTTTGTGGCAAGCCTTGAAATACTGCTATCCTGTTGCCCCTAGTCCTCCTTTTCACTACTCAAATTCCTGCAACTGTTCTTCATATGTTTTAGCCCCCAGGCCCCTAATCATATCCACTCTTTCTAGAGCAGTGGTTCTCAACCTTTTTAATGCCGCGACCCCCAACCGGTCGTAAGTTGAGGACTACTCAACCGGTCGTAAGTCGAGGACTACTCAACTGGTGCAGCACCGTTTGCAGAATGGGACTTTTGGCGGGCTCAGCAGGGCAGAGACAGCCTGGACAATTCCTATTGGCTTTTGAAAGCCAATAGAATTAGACTCTATTCAAGAGAGTCTATTCTATTGGCTTTCAAAAGCCAATAGAATAAAAGGGAGTAGCACAGCTAAGGAAAAGGGGGAAAAAATGGCGGACTGCGTTGTTTGGCGACCCCCGTGAAATGGTCGTTCAACCCCAAATGGGGTCCCGACCCACAGATTGAGAACCACTGTTCTAGAGTCTCAACAACTTTTTTATATTGTGATGACCAAAACTGGCTGCAGTATTCCAAGTGTGGTTTTACCAAGTCATTACAAAGCAATACTAATATTGCACATGATCTTGATTCCATCCCTTTGTTAATGTAGCCTAGGATTGCATTGGCTTTTTTGGCAGCTGCTGCACACTATTGGATCATATTTGTGATTGTCCACTAGGACTCGACCCTTTCCAGCGTCCCCCAGCAGAGTGAAACTGAATGCAGAAGACAGAGCTCACCTTCCAGCGTCCACGGCGGCCGTGATGGCAAACCGGAAGTCTCGATCTTGAACCTGTCTTCTGAGGTGTTGGCTATTCCTGCCAACTTGGTGTCATCTCCAAATTTGATGAGTTCCTATTCCCTCATCTGAGTTGTTTATGAAGATACTGAAGAGTACTGGGCCTAAGACGGAACTTGTTCACAGACTATGCTTCTGCAGACTCACTCGGCCCACTCATGGGTTAATACGAAGAATGGCTTAGCCAGCCATGGGAGGGGAGATCCCCTTCCTCGTTTTCTAAAGGGATCCATAAGATGGGCTTCTCAGCATAGAAGGAGTATGAGATCAGTTGTGTTTCTGAAAAGCCTTTGAAATGTGGTTTTTCCACCAATGTTGGGGATCCCATGGAGCAACTGTAAGATGATTGCATGATATTAGGTCATTTTATTCTCCTGCAACCTTTTTATGTTTCATTTTTATTCATGTTTTAGTGTTTTGCATGTTTTATGTTTTTTCATATGAATTACTTTAATAGCATGTTTTAGTATTTATATAGCACATGTATGAATACAAATACAAAACCCAGCCATAAATATTAATCTTCTTTAGTGAGAACAGCTGAGTATGCTTAAGAGAGAAATTAACACCCGACTAACAAAATGACAGTGGCAAAGCTGTGGATTCCCTTGTGTACATGTGTGTGGGTGTTGAAAACTCTGGATGTCATCTTACCAGCCACACTCTCCCTTGCCCTCAGCTGCTGATGGGGGCGAGGAGGATCTGCTTGATCACATCTGGAGGATTGTCTGAAGAAACTCTCAACCTGGCAAGGGATGGGATTTGTCTTCCTCAGTCAAATGGGAAACTGAGCCTGAATCCATAGGGCTGGAAGGGACCTTGGAGGTCCTCGTCCAGTGATGGCGAACCTTTTAGAGACCGAGTGCCCAAACTGCAACCCAAAACACACTTATGCATTGTCGAGTGCCAGTTGGGTGTGTCCCATTGGGTAGGTGTGGCCCATTGGGTGGGCATGGCTGCGGTGGTAACAGCAGACTGAGTGGGACTAAAAAGTTCAATCAATCAATTTCAACTTTGCAAGATCTTTTTTTTTCCCACGAGAAGTTGAAATTGACTGATTGAACCTTTTGTTTTGTTTTTTTGCGGCGGCAGCCTAAAGCAAAAAGGTTTTATAAAACCCAGCTGAAGGCTTAGGGCTGGGGCGACGGTGCGCATGGCCACTGAAAGGGCTCTGAGTGCCACCTCTGGCACCCGTGCCATAGGTTTGCCACCACTGGCCTAGTCCAGTCCCCTGCCTAAGGCAGGAGCCCTTATTCAATGCTGGACAAATGCTGTCCAATCACTTCTTGAAAACCTCCAGCGATGGAGCACCCACAACTCCAGGAAGCAAGCTGCTCCACTAATTAATTGTTCTCACTGACCAGAAATTCCTCCTTATTTCCCGGGTTGAATTTCCCTCTGATGAGCTTCCACCCATTGCTTCATGTCCTGCCCTGAGATGCTATGGAGAATAAATTGATGCCCTCTTTCCTATGACAGCCCTTCATGTATTGGAAGACTGCTATCTTGTCTCCTCTGAACCTTTTCTTCATTAGGCTAAACATAGTATCCTCAGCCATTCATCGCATGCTGTCGTCTCCAGGCCCTTTATCACTTTTATTGCTCTTCTCTGCACTCTTTCTAGGGTCTCAGCATCTTTTTTTATCGTGGTGACCAGAACTGGATGCAGTATTCCAAATGTGGCCTCACTAGTGCAGTACAGAGTGGTACCACCACTTCCCATGATCCTGAGGCTACTGTATCCCTCTGTTGATGCAGCCCAAGACTGCCATGGCTTTTTTGGCAGATGTAGTGCACTGCTGGCTTATACTTAAGCAGTGATCCACTAGCACAGGGCTTTTCAATCAGTGGTACATGGACCATTGGTGGTACTTCGGCATCTGTCAGGTGGTACGCATAGAACAGGTTGAAAAGCAATGTTAAAAAAAAGTGTAAAAAAAGTGTAAAAGTCGATGAGGCGAAGTGGTGGCAGCGCCGCAGAGGCTTGTGGGAAAGTCAGCTGAAGCTGTGCAAGGTGTTGCCTGGGTTCTGCTGAGAGCCCAGGATCAGTGCGTGCAGCTCCAGCTGATTGACGCTTCCAGCACACCTGGAAAAGGAGGGGGGAGAGAGAGGAGAGGGTATAAAAGGAACAGCTTTTGGCCAGGGAGGGAGAGAAAAAAAAGACAATGGGGGAAAGAAGGGGATGGTGAAAGAGAGACAGAGAAGTACAGCCTTGAGGAGAGCAGTCAGCTGGAGGTGCACTGAAAAGGGGGGGGGGAGAGGAGATGATATAAAAGAATGGAGAGAAGAGAGCATATAAAAGGAGGGAGAGAGGTTGTGAGTGTTCCATCACTAGGGGTTTTTAAAAAGAGATAAAGCAGCCATTTGTCGGGAATGATCTAGGCTAGGATCTCCTGCTTGAGCAGGGGGCTAGACTAGAGGACCTCCAACCTCCCTCCCAGCCCTAGGATTCTAGGATTCAAAACCACCCCGGACTCAGCCGCCGCAGACGCCAGCCCAGACCCGGCAGCGAGGAGGCTGGCGAGGCCCAGCCGGCGAGGCGGTCCGCAGAGCCCCCGGTAGCTTGCCCGCCCTTTGGAAGGGCAGAAGGGCGAGGCGGGGCGGCGGCGGGGGGAGAGCTGCCCCTGACCAGCCATCGAGAGAGCGGGGAGGAGGAGAAGGCCGGCGAGGAAAGAAGACGCTCCGCGCCCCTGCTCGTCTTCCGCCTCGCCACGGCCACTCCAGACCTTGCCCGGAGGCGGCCGGGGTAGTTCCGTAAGGCGCTTCGCGGGGGACTCGCGCGACCCTCAGGGCGCCCAGACGCCCATTCAAAGCGGCCCAACTGGCGAGTGGCGTCCACGCAGCCCACTCGGTTCGGGGGGGGGCGGCCAGGCCCAAGACAGCCCCCGCCCGCCCGCCACGTCTGGCGAGCCGGGAGACGGCACAGCCGACCGGGCGTGCAGCCTCGCGGCGCCTGAGCGGGACTGTAGCGGAGGATCTCGCTTGCCTCGCCCGCCGCCCCCGGAGCGACGGCCGCGGCGGTAGAGGGCGCGGGGACCGGGCGCCCTTTGACGGCGCGGACCACCCTCCGGCCTCGCTCCTCCCTCGAGGAGGGCCGCCCCCCGCCACAAAAGGGCCGCCCCGCTCGCCGCCCGCCCGTGCGGAGGGGCCGAGCGCCGTGTCCCGCAGCTGCCGCCGAGGGCCTGCCGGGCGGCGCGTCCCGGCCGTCGGTGCCTCTCCGCGTATCCCGCCTCGCCGTCGATCCGCCCTCGCGGCCGCCGCGATGCTGCCCGGGCAGCCCGAGAGGGCGCCGCCTCCGCCTCGCCGCGGCTGAGGGAGACCGAGGCTTTTCCGACGCCCCGCGCCCTGCCGAGGGAGCCGCCCGCCATGGCCCGCGCCCTCCGCCTCCTCCTCCGCCTCCTCCTGGCCCTGGGTGAGCGGCCGCGGCACCGAGAGGCCGGGGGGGAGCCCTGCGGGGGGGCAGGCCGGGCGCGGGCGGCTTGGAGCGCCCACCCGAAACTTTCGCGGGAGCTGCGGAGGGGGGAGGGCTTTGCGCCGGGGCCGAGGAGCCCCGAGGGAGGCTCGTCCTGCGGCGGAGGGGTGTGGAGGACGAGGCGGGGGGCGGGCCGAGCCTCCCTCTTCTCGCTCCCCCCCGCCCCCCCAGGGAAGGCAAGAAAGGAGGACGGGAGAGATGGGGGGGGGATCGGTCGTCGGCAGCCCGCAAGAGCGCGACGTTTAGTCCCCCCAACTGGGAGGGCGAATGGCGAGCTCCGGTTCTGGCCTTCAGCGCCAGCGGGACCCGGCTGGTGAGTCTTGGAACGGGCCGCGAGCTGGACCGCGGGCCACCAGAGGCTAAGTGCCGGAGGGAGACGAGGCGACTTCGCTGACCGCGGCTCGGCCGAAGCTCCCTGGGGACGGGAGGCGGCCCAAGGCAGCTGCTCCCTGCTCGCCCCCTTCGCAGCCCCTCAGAGGGCTGGGCGGGTGTCGCGAGGCCGCCACTCGGCCTGCCTGCCGATGGCCGGGGCGGGATGGGAATCCGGGGTCCCGACTTGGGCTCCGCAGGGAAAGGGGGAGATGCTTAGCCTGGGCCGGGCCCCCCAGGCGGTCGAGGCCTGGCGTTCCCGGTTGCTCCGCCCCTTGCCCTGACCGGGAGGCGGCGGCGGTGGAGGGCCCGGTGCAGAACCCGACTGTGGAACTTCAGGAATGGAAGTTTGTAGTCCCGTCTAATCCCGGGAGGCTTCTCTGCTTGGGGACCAGACGGGCATCCCAGAAGGGAGCGGCCCTGCGCCCAGCTGCCCCGTCTGCAGCAGCGGATCGGCTCCCCTGCAGTCGCGGGGCTGGGCAGGTTCTCTGCCGGGCAAGGAGCTTTTGCTGGGAGCCAAGTCAGAGCAGCCCTTAGCTTTGGGGTAGGAGAGATTCCTCTGGAGATGTGGATGTCACCACTGGAGGAGGAGGAGAGAGAGGCAGACTCTTTGGAGCAGCCTCCGGGCTGGGAATGCTGCAGCATTAACAGGACCTGCAGTGGGACCAGGACTTTGCCTCTTAGGTGTACAATTGACAGCAGAATGACAAAAGTGCCTTTTAGCCACCATGAAGCAGGAGGGTTATGTCTGGAAATGAGGGATCCCACAAGTGCTATAAGGACATTAAACGGCTTAGTGCTTGCCCTTGGACCTCAGGCCATCGAGCTGCAGCAGGAGGGCAGAAACGGCATTCCTGGTAGGATTTGGCACCCTTGTTCTGGTCTCCATACTTTTTGCACTGCTCTAGTTCAAGAAGGGATTTGAGATTGCTGTAGGCAGTGCTCCTTCCGCAGTTGGCTGTTCCTCTCTTATTTTTCCCTGGTTGATGTATCCTGGGCTGCTGCGTCCAGTTCTGGGCCCCTTATTTTAAAAGAGACATGGAGAGGCTGGAGAGTGTCTGAAGAAGCAAAAGGCTTAGCAGGAAAAACTGAGGAGGATCAATTGGCAGCCCTGGAAGTGTTTAGTCTGGAAAGAAGAAGATGTGGTAGCTCTCTTCAAGCATCTGAAAACTTGTCCTGTAGAAGATGAGAGAATTTTCCAAATACGTTCCAGGAGAGAAAAACGTGGGATTTAACGCATGGGCAAGAGGTCTCTGCTGGACATCAGGAAAACGTCAAGAGGAGGTGGTGATAGTGGTGGGCTTTCCGTTGGGGTAAAGAGAAGCTGATAGCTCTTGGCTCTGGGTTCCTGCTCTGGGCGAGGATGGGGATGTGCTTGTGGGTAATGATGATGCAGTTGGGGAACCTTTTCAGAGGGATCTATGCTTTTAGGGAGGCATCAGCACAGAGCTCTCTTAGCGGCACCTGCCACAGCCGGAGGTCCATCAACTACTTGAAGTCCTGCGCTGGGTTAGCTCTCGCACTCCTGGCACTGGGAAGACCCTTTCCCCAGGAAGCGTCCTTTAACACCCCTGGCGTGGCTGCCTGGCTGCCTCTCGCTCCACTGGCCGGCATCAAGAGTTCCCCTGCCTGGGTTGCTGCCTTGGCTCCCTTGTGGCCCCACTCTCAGTTTTGCCCATGGATGTGGGCTTTCGGGCCGACCTGGCTGCCTCCAGGCTTTACCCTCCAGTCAGAGTTGCTTTGTGTGCAGCTTTGGGAAACGCCATTTGCAGAAGACCAGATCGGGGGCTTCAACATCAGAAGAGGCAGCGGAGATGCTGGGTTTGGGGTTCCAGGGTTCTCATTGCTGTTGTGA